ATGGTATCCAGGCCAGGTCTCTTCGGTATATATGGTTTTAAACTGAAAATTGAACTCTCTTAAGTTTGAGATCTTGAAAGCTTTGAAACCAAATATGCTATTGTAGTCAAAAAACGGCTCAAAAATGCCAAAACAAATTTTATAATCTTTTAATTGATCAATTACTTACTCGACATCACTTTTCCACGTGTCATCATGTTTATTCATCGACTTTCGGCAAGCAACATCTCAATTGCAACTTCTCGGGCTTTTTGACAATAAAAAAAAAAAACAAAACAACCTCGAATGGGTTACGTAGCGTTCATAACAACCCCTTCATAAACGTCGACCTAAATGAATCCATATCAAATCCAATGTATAAATATTTTAACTCCGGTAATGTAAATACATTCCAATTGGACCTGGGTTGACTGGTCAGCAGTACTTTGGTCAGACGAGTCCAGATTTACGCTTTTTCAAAATGATGGCCGTGTGTTCGTCAGAAGGAGATCTCATGAGGCATACAGAAACAACTGTATTGTACCAACAGTCAAGTTTGGTGGGGGTGGTGTTACTGTCTGGGGTGCCATGTCCTACAGGGGAACTGGATTCCTGACTCCTCTCAAAGGTAACCTCAACAAAGATAGATATTTGGACATTCTCAGTAACTCGGCAATCCCTTCTGCACGTCTTCTTGGATATGGAGATAACTACTTTTTCCAAGATGGCGGCGCTCCATGTCACAGGGCAAATGCAGTTAAGGAATAGAAAGCTGAGCAAAACATGCGTTGCCTTGAAATTTGTGGAGAGATCTTGGACTTGCCGTTAGAAATGCTCAAAGATGCCATAATCTCAAGGACTTGGAACAAGCCCTAGTTCATGAATGAAGTCGAATTCCAGTAAGAAGATGTCAGCAACTTATTCGAAGCAGGCACAATCGAATACAGGTTGTAATACGAGCTAAAGGGGGATACACAAAGTACTGACATTTCTTATTTGAAATGATTACTTGATATGTTATTTATGCAATGAAATTCCTGTAAGTAAATATATTTTTAAAAAGTGAAAAAAAATCTTATGTTTTCATTGATATTTTATCATATTTTATTCATATATTATTAAAATATATGGAAATTACTTAAATTTACCTCAAATGTGAGCCTGGTGTAGAAAAATAAATCAATAAGAACTTTTTTGGTCGGTGGATACTTATTTATGGAGAGTAGTGTATATCTTAATCTTAAATTTCACTTTTGAATTTTTATTAAAGAAATTTGTCAATTTGGCACCAAAGGTAAATGTTAAAATGATTTTATACTGTGATTTAGTGAAAAAAAATGTTTAAGGTTTTTGTCCTTACTGATTTCGAAATATTGAGAATTTATATTTGATTGAACATATAGCTACAGTTGTGTGCCATAACTTGAGAGCATTTTATTTTTTCTCTATATATTTCATTGAAAACAACATTTTGTAAAATCACTGGCAAATGGTCAATTTTTGTCCAATTTAATTATCTATTTCAGTACCTAAACCAGAAAACGTTTGGTTATCTTTCTTTAAAATATCATTACATATTTAGATTTTAGTAGAAGATAGTTCATCACTTAACATCAGTTCTAAAATACAAGATCAATGTTGACTATATAATTCATTGTAATATGTGACTTAAAAATTCACGTAACGCTTAAATTACAGTATTTTTAATAATATCAATGCTGATCAGGTAAAAACTATTGTTTTCATAAACTACAACAATTTCTTGGATTATCAAGAAATTTGTAATTAAATCTGTCAAGAATTGTTGTCATACCAGTGATTTTACAAAATATTGTTTTCAATGAAATATATAGAGAAAAAATAAAATGCTCTTAAATTATGGCACACAACTGTGCAGTGTATGCATCAGGTGAAACTTCCGTTGTAAGAATGGTTCTTAAAGTCGACAAGATATAAGTAATAAAGACGTATAAAATACAGTTCACTCAAGATTTCCCATCTCCTTGAGATTATACCGATAGTATTCTGTCTGGCACAAGAGCACAATGTACAAAGATTTCAAGACGACATTTACAATATCAGCACGTGCATTTTGGTAAAAAAAAAAATATTCTAAATTGATGCCTGACAATATTTACCGCTTCGAACATAGTTTCCTTGTTAGCACAAAACATATTTTCTATTTATCAGTAAAATTCTGTATTATGACTACTTTAAGTCATAATTATTAATACAGATTTTTTTTCTATAAATAGCCATTATGTCAGAAAGACACTAGGAAATTACGTTGTGAATTATATATTCAAAATGGGTGCATGTTTGTCTTGTCTCCTTTTGACCGAAGCAGTAACATTGTAAATAAACTACTATTGTTAAATATTAAAGATATATATGCCGTATTAGTGTTTTATTTTAAAAGAAATAAATACGAGGGCCGTTCAAAAATTACGCGGACTTGTTGCACAGAAGAAATATTTGACGACATAATCGGGCAAAATTTTACAAATAATATAAAAGAATCTTTACTTATATGGTTTTCAAAATTTCATATCAAAACGTTGTAAATTGGTATTAATTTTGAGTGATTTTTCAGGACGTACCATTAAGTCACGGCGCAGCAAAATCAGCATTATAAAAAATAAGTGATTGAGCTTTCATTTTCTCAACATTTTCCCTTGAGTACCTGTATAGTTTGAGTTACCTTATCTACTCAACATCAAAACATCATTTCTTGTCAAGCTTAAAATATATTAAACAAGTAAAGAAGATTCTTTTTTTGTTTTAAAACCAAAAACTACTTATGAGATATAGTGTGATATTGGTGACTCTCAATCACGTTCTTTACAGTCCGGATAAAGTTAACTTTTGGTCTATAATCTTCTTCCCGTCCTCCCGTATAGCCTTTTTACAGAGGTCTAACTGTCTAGAATTTCAATTAGCTGTTTGTGGGCGAATGTCACGAGTAGCCTAGTTTACTACATGTTTTTATTATGCATATTTTGGATCTATGTTGCCGATATCTCGAGCATTACACATATTTTAACAAGAGTGTGGTGCGCCATCAATTCAGGAGACGTCATTTTCACAGTCGTTTTCACGGGAATTGCATCAGAGAAAAATCACTATATTTCTGTTCGTACTTCAAATATTACGTCCGAAATCTAAATACATAATAATAGAACAATTTAAAGTTACATTTGAGAAAATTGTTGAAAAATATCGCGAATTTTAGAAAATCAATGAGTTGAATTTTTGAATCTGCATGCTTTTACTTCAATTTTTTTGTCGTGCGCCGTACCTCTCCATCAACGATATCAACATACCGAAAATTTTAGTAGAATTTTTTTAAAATACAGAAATTTTGTCCAAAATTTATTGGAATCTTTAAGATACATATTTCTGTGAAATTTTATAACTATATGACGTCTGTAAGAATAATAGCACAGTCCGCGTAATTTTTGAACGGCCCTCGTATATGCGGTGTCTCATCAAGTTATATAAGTTATATACTTTCTGCAAATAAGACAATTCCATTCCATCACTTTTAAAAGTTATGAAATATTATTTGGTAAAAATTATTTTCTCTCCGAATCGGATAATAAACCGCCTCTTATTGAAATATTCATGATCACGTGGTCTCGCATGTTCACAGCAAACAATGGTCCAAATCTCGTGAATGAACCGAAAAGCATGATGGTCTACTACGTTTTTACTACAAACACGTGAGTTAGGGATTGTCAATACGTGAGCACACCTCAGAGTTGGTTGCTTTTTGTACCGAGGAATAATCACGTGCAATTGTCTTTTCACTAGCAGTACAGCACGAGGAAACTCTAAACAAACGGACCTGTACAATGGAGTGGGGAAAACTTTAATTTTTATCATTGTTAATCTTTTGTATGCAAATATGAGCATGGGATTAGTAGATAATAATGTACATAATGCATTAAGCGTGCAAATGCTTGGGAAAATGCATCAAGTCTTTCCGAGATCGATTTAAAAAACTAGCCTTTTCGAAAAACACATATAGTATTTTATGTAGTAACCCATAAATGCATTAAACGCAACTCATTGAGCTGATTGGTCTATTTGTCAGTCAAATTGGTTCCTCACTGAACAGAAGTCACAAAAAAATTTTTCCTTGACTTGATGATTCCCGCAATACTTTTCCCGCGCACATGCGCAGATCCAGGATAAACGTCTGTCCTTTATAAATATGCATGAGAATATCGTGTTCTTTTCCCGACCAGTACTTTGTTAATACCGAATAATATTTCGTCGAATTTGCAACAATGCTTCATTTTTGATAGCTTATCATACTTCAGAAAAGCTGTGCAAAATACTGTTTAACACGGCATACATATCTTTAAAGAAAGGTATTGGTGGAAACTTTCATAAACTTCTATGTAATATCACTCTAGTGTATCGTAAAAATGAAAAAAAGATGATGCGGGTTTCATTTGGGACATATATTTGTGTAAACAGGGAGACAATTTATGTCCTACACTGTTTAATTTGTATGTTAATGCTTTTTTAGAATATTTAAATTGTTTGGATACCTTACTAACATACAGTATTTAGGTTCAATGATATGCCTGTTAATCAATCACATGTTTTTGCTGATGACTAAAAATGGTATTAATTTCTGAATCTCAATCTGGGCTTCAACATTGTCTTACTTTTTTGAAAAAATATTGTACAGATTGGCAGTTACAAGTTTTGGGGGGAAAAAATCCAATACAATGATTTTCTCCAATAAAGCATCAGTGAAGATATGTATGGATTTATTACAAGCACAAACACTGTACCTACATGTATAACAGATGAACATAAATATCGAGAACTTGTGTTTATATCAAATGGAAAACTGAAGTTTGCCTCTGAACAACTTTCAGAATGTGCCAATGTTTTCTTCATTTATTCCCCGGGAGAAAAATTGATGGCTACATCAATGTTTTCTTGTATCTATTATACATATATTTCTTTTAACACATTGTGCAGCATGCACCTAAACAAGGTGAAGGCCACCAAAGGACGCCATTGAAGATATAGAAAGCAATCTGCCATTAACTCTTTGTCAGATATGAAGGATATTTAAATTACTTCAGATCAGAGAGATATACAATCTATACATAAGGTAATTTACATGTTTGAAAAAGGATAGATTTTAAAATATTGTCACAAAGTATAAATAGAAATCTAGTTTCGTTTTAAATATCCATTGTTTTGATAAATACAAATGTATCCACATAGGATAGGGATTATTTAAGGAAAGAATAGATATTAACGTACATTTAAAAATGACATACTTAATCTTTGAACTCATTTTTGCAGTTTGTTAAATTGAAAAAAGTGTGACTTCTTCCGAAAACGTTCGAGTTTTATCGGTAAGGTTTATTTTTTTTTTTTTTTTGGTTTTTTTTCCCATAGATCTCGAGTCATGTTCTAAATTTTTAATTTACTCCGACACTAGTCCCTAGTCATTCAAACATTGAGGACGCTTGATACGCTTTCTCGACAGATTGCAGCAATTCATTAAATTTCATAAAAGTGTATTTCATAGTCACAGGTTGAAATTCTGGTGTATCAGAAACATGCTTTTTTGTATAAAATCGGAAGTGTTTTTGTTCGTGAGCAATGCGCGCACAAGAAAATAATCACAATTTAGCTACATGTAGGACCTATATTCCCCTTCGCGTACCAGGAAGTTGCATTGTTAAAGTGCACTAAGTACTCGATTGTTAATTATACATGTTTAGTGAGCATATGTTTGAGGTTGTCATTTTATTTGTGTTTAAAAACTGGTATGTTACTTCGTCTAAAGTTTTAGTTATTTTTTTTTCTTTGACCTGGTGATCTGATAGAATCTTTCTACTTCTATATAATAGGTAAAATTGAGTAGTCCCATATCTTTACATCAAGGCATATTTGATACATAGAGAACATCACACAGGATATCACACTGGTATTTAAATCTGACGGGATATGGGGCTTATTAAGAGTGAAAAAACTCATCTACACCTTATCTCTTTAAGACCTGTTTTATATAACAATTTGTATTTCATATTACACTGAACAATTTTTTTTTCGCTGATGGAAATCGTCAATGTAATAAACGTATATGTACATATAGCATTTCAACTATAAAGTCACAACTGTAATTTGTCTACAATAATGACAAAAATCCTGTACATAATAACACGATTTTTAATCAGAATGTACTGGCCCCTGTCAACTATCGTACACTTCTTACTTGATGCCCTTCATTTTTTTTTATTACCTAAATGTGATTATTTTCTTTGCAGCTATGGATGGTATTGTCAATTCATGTCCCCTAAACTTAACAGATACAGAGGAAACTTCTGCACAATTGGGCTGTGGTCGTGATAAGTATGGTAATGATCAGTATTTATGTGTCCCTAACATAGAGAAGACAGGTCTTGTAGAATTATGTCACAATGGAGTCATGGGGATATTAGAAAGGGGTGAGTGCTATAATTTTATGCATTTTCAAGTTGAACATATTAATTTATGCAATATATATATAATGATAATAATAATTGTTTTTTATATAGCGCTTTTCTAGCATAAATGTTACTCAAAGCGCTTTACAATACATTTTTACCCAAGCAGACCTTAACAATCCAGAATCTTTCTCAGTGCAAGCTGCCGTTTTCAGCACTAGAACACTAACATTCTGACAATTTCTTTCACTGTCTATAGCCTGGTACCCCTTTTACACTTGGGTGGAGTGAGGAAATTCGTGTAAAGTGCCTTTCCCAAGGACACAACGTCAGCTTGTCGTGGCCAGGATTCGAACTCACAACCTTTCGGTTTGGAGTCCAGCACCTTAAACACTAGACTACCGACGCCACTTTATATACCATTATATTTTCAAACACATCTTTCTACTACACTGTAGTAGGGTTTTAAAGGCTCTTAATGAAATGTCATAGGGGATAGTCAGTAAAGAGGTTATCCATTCCCACTTAAAACATGTACAACCAAAATTTGTATAAATCAATTAAAATAAAAGGGTATCTCAAAATTTCTAAAGCAAATTTATTAACGACACTTTAAGTACTTCCTATTTCATTTCCTTCCAGATTTTGAAGCTCTCTCTCTCTCCGGGCACTGAAAATTAATGTAAATACATGTACATAATATATGCATGGTTAAAAAAGGGAATCATTGGAATTGTTCAAATCATTACACCTGGGGGTTATTAAGTATGTACATGTACATGCACGTACTATATATTTACATTAATTAACATTGCCCATGTCTCTATATCTCTTTTTACATTTTAGGTTATTGTTTGGAAACCGCTGAGGGTAAACTGATTTCAAGTAACTGCTCTGAATTCCTATCAGGCTGTCCAGATGTTGATTTCCACATCAACGAAATATACAAATGTAAGGACGATTTCATATTTAATCTTCATATCACAGATATCACAGCCTTATTAGAATAATACTTAGTTTATTAGCAATTTTAGAAAATTTGATTAGATCTTTTCTATATGCATTGACATTAGATCCTGCTTGTCAAAGGATTGATACAGAGCACCGTTGCTATGTTGCTGATCCATCATGTTTAAATGAGTAAGTGATTGATAATGATAAATCAAGTTGCGAGATATTCTGCATGAAATTTGTACACGTAATTGTAACAATATTTTTTCTTTGAAAAAATAGCACATGGGACATATCTACAAAAGAAACAATGGAAGCATTTTCCCCTTGGTTAACTACAGATCATAGTATTTATAACAGAACAGAAGTGAATATTCAAACAACTCCATACATGGATGATCATAGTATTTATAACAGAACAGAAGAGAACATTCAAACCTCATCCATGGATGTTGACACCGCACATATATGGGCAATCATGGGAAGTTTTGTTGTCATAAGTGTTGTGTTAATTCTTATTCTTGTGATGAAGAGGGCAAGGGTTGTATGGAATAGAGAGCAAAGGCAGAAAAAACGGGGGGAAGTAAAAGCTTCCGGTTTGTATTTTCTTTTCCAGAATTTTAGATTTTATAACATTTTATAAACTAGAAAAATTAGTAGATACCTCAAATTTCTATATTATAATTTAAAACATATTTTTATGAACATTCAAGACATAAAAAATCGATTTTGTTTTTGAAGACGAAACAGAACTGTTGTTGAAAAAACCAGAGACAGCCGTCCCAGGTATTTTTACTTACAAAGCATGTTTTTATCAAAGTTATAACTATAGAAGGCTGAAAACTTTAGTGTCAAATAAAAGTGTCAAATTTTCACTAAAATAGTTCAAAGTTTTAAAGTCACATGCAATATTATACAAAGTCAATTTTTTTAAAAGGCGATTACTCTGGGTAATAAAATTAACAGTTTTATCTTTTTCAGGAATGAAACATATGGAAATAACGAACAGTATTCAATATTAAGAGTCCATTAAACAATATAAAATAGGTGCAGAGCAAACACGGACCTCCAAAACATCAGAGGTGGGATCAGGTGCCATGGAGGAGTAAGCATCCCCTGCCGACCGGTCACACCCGCCGTGTGCTCCTTGTCATGATTGGGAAATAATGGAAAATCCGTCGTCAGTTCAGTGTATAAATAATGGACTAACAATAAGTATGAAAAACATCAGTCAGCATTTGACTCAATGATAAATTGTATTTGCTGACAAAGTCATTGTATCGACCATAGAACTTGCGAAATGATGACTTTAAATGAGACACTGAAATTCTTGTTTCAACTTGTTTGTCAATAATTTACCTCGTTTTAGAAATTGTTCATACGTAGAGCATGCTCTTGCGTATCGAATCAACTGAGATAATTATATAAACTCCGTATGAAGGTTTATTGCTGCATAAGTAAGGAAAGCTGACGATAGAAAAGTTAAAGTCATCATAGAGCTTGGTTGTTAAATTACCATAAACGTCTTTTTCAAGTAAAATATCCAAATATGAAACAGATGTGCCAGACTCTGTGGTATCTTTTATTTCAAGCTCACCAGGATATATCGTATCGACAGAAGAATGGAAATTACCATTGTTAATTGTCAATATGTCGTTGATATACCTAAATATCGAGTTGAAGGCCACAGCAATTTTTTTTCTTTTTTTCACGCATAAGATTTTGCACAAATTCTGATTCATATGAATACATAAAAAGGTCTGCTAATTACGGGGCGCAATTGGTACCCATGGGAATTCCAATAGATTGTTGGAAGACCTGGTCTCCAAAAACGACATAGATATTGTCAATCAGAAACTCAAGCATCTTTTTGATGTCCACTTCAGAGTACTTGTGTGTACAATGAGAATGTTTTTTTAACAAAATAATTTTGCAAATGACCAATGACAATGTAATTAAGGAAATCAATTTTCTGTGACTTAAGTTTAATTAAACTATTTTTTCAAAATAAGAAGAATAAATAAATAAATAAATAAATAAATAAATAAACTAAATTCCGTGAATTTTGTGTACGATACTTTTATTTCAAATTTCATTGTGAATAAAGAGAACTTTTAAAACTTATTATATTTTTTTCAATGATTGATAATAGCAAAATTGTTCTTAAATATATAATAGATTTTTCTCTTTTATTTTAATTCGTGTTTATATATTATTATTTTTTTGTTTTGTTTTTATGTAATCTATATATTGTAAACATAATGTAAAAAGAAAAACCGCTTATTTTATGTTTTGTGAATTTGGCACTTCAGTAATTCACAGTATACAAATGTCATTAATGGATTCAAAACAGATATACATGTATTTGCGTAACTTATCTTTTACAAAGTGATTTCAAGTACAGCAAAAATAATAGCTATATTATATAAAGTCTTTTTATTATTATACGAGGGGTGACCGATACGTTCGAGAACTTATTGAATTACTTCCATAAAAGAACTAAATGTTAGCTAATCCGAATTTCCTTTCTTTTTTATGGAATATTAGCTATAATTTGATGTACTTCATACACATAAATTGTTCGTTATTTTCACAGATGGTGAGGTAATCACATCAAGATATAAAATGATATAAAACTAAAAGGTTTTGGTCTTTAGAAATATTTCAAAGAAGACAAGTTTTTACGGATTTTTGCTAAAATTTGATCTAAGATGTTAATAACTTTAATAACTTCAGAATTTATATTAGTCTTTCATTTTTTCAAAAAAAAAAATAATTAAATTCAATGTTCTTTAGTACCTATAATGATTTTAAGAAGCAGAAAAGGGGATATTTTTATATGCAGCTATTCTTCCAAAGGTAAAGTCTGTGCTAGAATTCAAACTCAACTTAGCCATTTTAATTTAACGTTGTACAATTATGAGAAGTGAGGGAAAATATGATCTTTTAAATCCTTTACATCCAGATATATACGACGCATAAACAAATCCGTTTTGAATATTTCATCTAGTCAGAAACCGGACAAGAATCTCTCCTCAATCCAAAGTAGCAGCCAAGAAATCGGGATAAGATAAAAAAAAACACACAAATACATATGTAATGAAATCAAAGTTAAATAATATATAAGGAATCTCCTTTACTTAGGGACAATAAAGGAACAAGAAACAGGTGTCAGTATTGAACTAGAGGCAAGGAAGCTTGATGTCATAGAGGCCGTTATAGGGCAAAAATTCCCTGACGTTGAAGGTAAGAATTTGTGTAAAAAATTGACCCTTTATTTGTATCTAAATCAAGTAGTTGATAAAATATTTTGAAACGGTTGTACATTTCCTCCAAGGCTTTTTTAGATCATAATCTCCATTCCCACAAAAGGCCACTTAATTGTTATCAACTTTTTATTTCTATCTTTTTATAACAATTGTCTAATTCCTTAGAACGACCTCAGTATGACATATTTGTTGAATTGCAGAACAACAATTTTTTAATTTAATTTATTTCATAAGGAGAGGCCGTTGGTCGCGTCCTCTTTTCATTTGCAGTATGTCTCTTGATTTATATCCCTTGTCACTTTTTTTAGTTCATACAAATCACTTAAATTAACTGATTTTCTTCATAATAAATCATAGCATGCTGATATGGATCTACAGCAAATTTAATTAAATTGAAATATAATCCGAGGGATATAAAAATAAAGTTGATAAGCTTGTCAATCATACTTAATGTTCTTCAGCATCTATCGACTTGTAATGTAAATCGAGAAAAAATACTCAGAGACTTTGTGCACTGACGATTTACCTGACAACGCCTGTAAGAAAACATTTCAAACGTTTTCGAGAGGATGGATTTATCAATGGAAAAGTATTCAGTAAACTGAGAACAACACCCTAATTATAAACAATGCACACATTACATAATTAAGATTTGACCGAAAGAAAAAAGTGTATATTTTTTAAATAAAAGAACGGCAGACCTTTGAATTTTTGTAGCAAAATAAATCCTAAATAAAACGTGTATCTACGAGAAAACGTTCTACTTTATGTGTACGTTCAGACTAATCAAACAATTGCAATTTCGTAAAAAAAAAGTGTGTTGTGAATGTTGATATATTTGAACACTGACCTGAGTTTCTATGGAACTATCTCAATGTATGTTTATAAATATTGATAATTAGTGTGCATTTCTAGTTTTTCTCATTTATATCTATCTACGGTTTCCAATAATGAGTACCCTGAGTATGATGACATATGCGGAGACTTACCGAAGTTGTTTGTTTGTTTGTTTGTTTTTCTTTTTTCATTCTTTTTTTAAATAAGTTTTGGGGAACAGGAAAGATACCCCCAAAAAAGGAACTTCGATAACAAAGATTTTGAAAAAAAAATTCCACATCAATAAATTTTGATTTTAATTCAATTTCTTGTTATAATTTAAGTTAGTAAAGGTTTTTCTATGCTATCAGGTATCGGCCCTAAATTTTTTTCACAACGTATTTTCTTAGAAAAAAAGTTTTATTAATTTTTTTAAACTTTCATTAATTTCTTTAAAACCTGATGACTGTTAAAATGAGGTTTTTGTGGTTGTTGTTTTTTTTTTAGCTTAATATATATGTGAGGGGAAAAATGCCGTTCTACTTATCAAACCTCGGTGAGGAGAATATTTTAAAACATATGAAATAAATTTCTCAAAACGTTCAAATTAAATTTCAATTCCTGGCAAGATTTTATAGAGTTATATGCTTGATAAAAGTTATGCTCAAAAATACGAAAGCATAAGCTGAGGACCTTTAAGCGATCTGAAGGCATGCACTGTAAATGGGGCGCAAAGTTAAAATGAACTGCAATGTGAACCAATATTTTGGATGTAAAAACGTAATATTGAAAATAGTGATGAAACAAACAAACTGCTCATTTGACACTGTTTCCATTCTTTTTTGTTTTAATTTGCAGAAGTACTCCGCCGACTGGGTGGTTATAGCCTATGGAGGACAAAGATATCAGGTGTTTATGTGTCTGTGTGTATGTGAGGGGGTGTGTGTTTTTCCTCAGTAAGATAATTAATTCCTTTTGTGAAGATTAACATTTAATTTCAACAAATATCTGTTTAAGGGTATGATTTTTCACTGGAATATATCTTTAGAAGAAAAATGAAACTATTCACCATCATTATATTAATTAGATGTTGCATTTTTCTATGGACAGAAGTCATCTTTTTCTTTACATACAAACGATATAAGATGATCTAAAAATTTTAGGAGTGTCATCTGTTATCCTTATGTTTATACAAGATGTTTAATTGCCCCATATTATCGTCAGAATATAACTGTAATGGAAAAAAGGTCACAAAAACATGCTCACATGCATATAGCAAAATTATACTCACAAATATGTCGATGTTGATAAATTTATATGAATAAAAAATGAATTTTTCCTTTAAATCATATTTCAAAATATGTATTTAGTGCAAAAACACATGTATATTTTTACTGATTCATTTATAAGGAGATCAAAAGTAAGTTTCTTTGTAGGAGGTAAATATAACAAGGACTACTTGATTTTTTTTTTGTGAAAAATAAAAAAAATGTCTGAAGTTGAACAAATCAATTTCAAGAGGGAAGGGTTTGGTGATGGGTAGGTTGTGAACACTTCTCATGGACAAGAAGCAGTCACTTTCATTCAAAATTATGAATCTTTCCACCCAGTAAAGGGAAATAAAAATGATTGCTTTATTATTTCATTTTAATAACAGTGAATGATGTTTATATTAGTATCATTATAAAAATATAATGATAAGACTAGGAATACACCGTTCAAAGGATACAGACATCAACGCCTCATTAGTATGGAGCTCACCTTAAGCTTATCACTAATGTTAGGCCAGATACTAAAGAAATTATAGGAAAATGATAAAGCTTTACACAGAGTTAAAGGATGATCATGTCTTTCACTCTAGCTAAAAGGCCTACCAATGCAATTTGTTCATCTGATTGTTTTTCCGTTTGTTTGTCTGTCCGTCATTCCGTCTGTCTGTAACTCTTTAGTTTCCCGATATTTATTAAAGCCCTTATGATTTTACCATTTCATGTCAAGTATTTTCCTCTGTCTTACGAAAACTTACTGACATAAAGGCCAAAGACAATTGTTAAAAAATTCATATGGTATGAGATGATTCATTTGATTTTTTTTTTAAAAATGTATCTAAAGGCCTTTGCAATGAATATTTCTCTAACCCATTATGACTTATGTTATTAAAAAAGGGCCTCTTTATTTTTTCCTCAAACGTTAATCGATTCACAATTTAGATTTGTCCGAATATGCAAAATAATCAATAAAAGAGATATAGAACGTAAGAGAGTCAAACAAGAAGCCAAAGAGTTAAACAGAGGTCCAAAAGAAAGTCTGAAAACGATTCAAAGAGGTGTAAAAAAAAGTTCCAAAGATCCGGTTTTCCGACAAAGATGGTATATTATGCTTAGGAGGATTTGATGGTCCCTGATATAAGATGCTTTTTACTGGCTGTCTTACCTTTGCCTTGGCTCATCCGCTTTGTTCTTAGATCTGTCCGCTGACCAATGAACCCAACCACTCTCGAATCAAGGTTTACCTGCGTTAGTATTATTTATGGGCTCAGCTGCCATCTGTGCACTACAGGATTTCTAGTCCTAAGCTCCTAAGCCATCTTATCTAATTCTTAGAACCAAATTTAATTGCTTTTCGTCTTAATAGTAACTTTGCTCCATTCAGAATCTATTACTTAGTATCAGTGGGTTTGATTGGATTCTTCTGATCAATTCATTACAAAAGAATTAAGAAAATTAACGTTCATTGTTCCAACAACAAAATTGCAACAAAATTCAATTTGTTCTGACAGGATAATCATAGTTCATAAAATTAACGCCTCTTTTCCAGTTATAAAGTCACTGTGTGTGGTAACCATTGATGTCCTTCCTGATTTGATAAAGTTTTATTTTATTTTGCTATAACTAAGTTTAATATTAATAACTGAAATGATTATAAGGTACATGTAAAAATATTCCAAGTTTAAAATGTTCCAATAAAAATGTTCATTCTTAACCCTACAGGTTTACATTAAAGAGGACCCCTATTGATTTTTTGGAATCAAAATGTAAAGATCAATGTCACAAATGTATTTTGGAAATTATTTTGGTTCATTCACAAATTTAATTACATGTAATTAATAAATCTCTTATTCCACAATGCCTTTGTCTCTTGTATTGTCGAATTGAAGAGAATGTGACGTTAAAAATTTGCTGATCCTCCGTGAACTTTCCTCTTTCTTGCACTTGTCTTTCTTTTACACATTAAGTGGATGTAACATTTTTATCTCTCAAAAGTTTATCTTTTGAGCTGTTTTATTAAAGTAAAAGTGTCTTGTGTCACTTGATGGATTTGAAAAAGATATCAACATTTGCAACATTTTAAAAGAGGAAAGGAAAGTCGGTGGACGATCAGTAAAATTTGAATGCCTGTTACTTTTGAATCTGACGATACACAACAGGGTTTAAACACAAGGGCATTAATATAGAAGTGAACTTCGAACAGTTCGATGAACTCGAAGTGAGAGGATTTAACAATTTGTGGATGAACTGAAAATGTGAATAGAAAGCAACGTCTCAAAGACGTTCGTTGTAGTGCGGCGACGGACAAAATCTAACTTTATGCTGACCTTTTTTTGTATTTAAATGATATTGTTGGGCAGATTTTATAATAAAAGTGACATTTTTTTCTAAATCGACCCTCCTGATACGTTGCTGACAATCATATTCAATTATTTTTAGTCAATTTAATATGTTAAAGCAATGATGAAGAAAAACATTTGAATTATAGAAAAATTATATCGATGAAGTATTCACTAAGAAAATACTAAAGTATAATAGACAAGAGGCTTTAATTAAGCTGTATTGTGAGGCAGATCTTGTGGTCAGGATTAGTAAAAGTAATACTTCACATTTTCTAGATCAGTTCTCCAAACTAACTGATGCTGAGATGTTCGTGTTATTTTGTTTTCTGTGTTCTGACTCCGATACCCCAGACTTCACTGATACAGAGTGGCTTGATTTTCTTAACAAGATGCGAAAAGAAGAATACAATAAAGTGAATCCTGTAACAAGTGAGGAAGCACAGCTGACTCTGAACAGACTGAAGTCATACAATTTCCTTTTAGATGATCAGGACAAGATCACTGAGGATACGAAGCATGAGACAATGTATAAAATAGCGTCATTGATATCTTATGTATATATACTAGTTAATTACAGTAGTTATAACACTGTCAAAGTGTACCTGAGAGAACACAGATATCACAGAAAACCTCAAGAAAAGTGTGTCATTGGTGATAGTAAAGCTGAATATGATGATATGAACCACTGTGATTATTTAATGATACAACGTCTACAGATGAACATACTGGCTCATATCACCATGGAGGATATGGATATGTATACATGTAAAGAGATATACAAGATTCGTAAGTCAGTGATTATTTTCCCATTTCAGTTGATGTACCCCAACCCATATTTCTCACAATGTGTAGGTTGAAAGGTTTTATTCTTTTGCATTGTAAAATTTATAATCATCATTGAAATATAAGACATATATTATTATAGTGACAATACGAGGGTTGTCCCGAAAAATCGTGGACAAGTTGTTTCGCATGAATAATAATCGTCACTGCGTTCTGAAATTTTCAGTACTTCTTAGTACATATTTTCTTAATAAATATAGAAAATTTCAAATAGATATATGCATAAATAAACGAATTATGAGATTTTATATTATGTATTGTATCGTCTTACGGCGCACGGATGATAACGTCAAAGTGCCTAAAACAGCGTCAGGTACCTCAAATTTCATCTTTGCGTTAAAAATAAAGTTGGATAAGTCCCTTATAAATTTCGAAATTTCATTGAAGCACATACTTAAGTCTCCATAAACAATTGAGGAACCAATCTGGCACAAATGTACGATCTTCTGATGATTTATTAGTAAGATACGGACAATATTCCAACATCATTCAACTAATAGACAATCTTATATATTGACGCGGTCAACATTGACAGCGTCTTTAGCTATTACAATTTTAGTTTGTCTTTATGTCTTGTACTACCTCGGGACTCGATCAAGAAAGACTTTATTCAGAAAACTCCCATTTCATTTATATACTAAAGATCTGGAAATTTTGGGGGATTTTTTACTTCTGTATTCATTTAAAGTTTTATACGGCGTTATTACACCATCTAAATCATAGCGAACTGATCTCCGGTGCGCCCTAACGTCACCAAACGTCACCATTTTTCGTGTGTTGTGTTTACCACTTTCCCATTTCAAATGCCCAGGAAACTGTCAAAAATTGACCAAATGCATTGAAAATTTTAAGAAGAAAACAAAATAAATTGTGGAATTCAATAAGGATAATTTTTACCCTAATCTTATCTATTTAAATCTTTTGTTCCAAATCAATATTCCTGTATTCTCTTATAAAACCTTCGTTTTTTGACAGTGCGCCGTAGCCCGTAGGGCCTTACCCTGTGCACATTCAAGCATTATAAAATCTATATTTTTGTGTATATTTTATCCAAAACATTATAATTAACTTAAATATGATAAATAAACATTCACTGAAAATTTCAGCTTAATACGTCCATTATTTTTCGAGAAATACGCTTTTTCCACGATTTTACGGGACAACCCTCGTATATATCATAGGACAATACACAGATGATTAGACAGATGTTTTATTAATTGCTTTGAAAGAAAACTTTAAATCCATTAAGCATCTTGTGAGTATGATTATCATAAACTAAAAAATGATACTAACAGAAAATATGGAACCAAAAGAAGAGTAAAATTTAATATAAAAAAAATGATCGAAAAGGTGCAATCGTATACACCAAACATTTTTGTTTGCCTTAGCACCAGAACTTAGATTTGTTAGAAGAAACTGTTTAATTAAATGTAGATTAATTGATTCAGTGGATGTTTTAATCTATTTTGTAAGTGTACAGCTCCTGAAACTTTCAACTTTCCCACTTGATCGATGAATTAACAATGAGTGAACGATGAGCGTGCTCTGAACCCAGATCGGCGAACTGCGGGCGAGCGCAGAGCGAACAAAGCACCAAGTGAGGATAGAGCGAACGATGTTAACTGAAAAGATGAATTATTGAACTTATTTTATTGTCAGACAAAAAAGCAACAAATAATCATGATCAAAACACATGAATTTGCTAGGTATGTTAAACATACACCACTTCCTTTTCATCAGTTTCAACTTTCATCACCGTATTTTGAACCTTGATTGCCAAAATCTTTCCAGAGACAGTTCGAAGAACGCAAAAACTAACCCTTTAATTAGTCTCCACGTAGCTACACGCCTTCCTGCAAACACATCTTTGAATCATTTTCACATTATGTAATATCCAGTAAGAGGATTTCCTTTTAGTCAATCTTATGTTCTCCTCCTTGTGCTATGATTTGAAACATATTCTCCTAATATTTTTCGTAATTTTATCACAAGCCTGATTTCAAAATAACATACAAACCCTCTGTCATCATCACCTCCACCCTTTCATCGTGTATCATGACTCCCTTTGATAGACTTACAAACAATGTTTGGAAACATTAAAAAAAAAAACATGATTTCTGAGTCAGAATGACTTCCAATCCCTGTGCAAATGAAGAAGAAAATTTACAACTATATGAATTATTTTTTGTATCTTTAAATTTCGTAAAACGTGAAACTTTCCTATAAAACGTTTTTTTTTTAATTAAATAAAATAATTTAAGTCGAATACTTTCTTACTTTCACCTTTATTATGATAGCTGATAAACTTGAATTACTCAAAATATACTGTTTTTCAATGTAAAGTATTTACAATTAGCTTCTCAACTCGATGAAAAAGGGGAAAAAATAGACTACAGATCTTAATCTTGTCGATCCCTTATCGCCATTTTTATGTACAAACAAGATTCTTTATCACTTTCCTAGGATAAAAGAAATTCTGATAAAAATAAATATCTTAGTAGATTTTTGTCTTAAAATATATTTTCAGTATCAAAACTGATGGCAGATCTGTAATATGGAAAAAGATGATTAAGGGAATCATTTCAATGTTATTGATTACCTGAGAATTAAAATACCTGTAAAACTGCTTTTGTAGGAGTGACAAATGATGCGTTTTATACATTCAAAAAATCATGATCTTTTTGTTAAATGTTTTGTTGTTAATCAGTTAGCATGATTAGGATTACTATTGATTCGCGACAAAAGAGAATGTCGCAACGATTTAAATATAAATATTGACATATTTAAGTTTAATTTCCTAATATAGTCCTAAACGCAACATGTATTTCATTGAATTGTTTAATACATAATATTATAGACAATATTTTTCACAAATAATGATTTTTTTCATTTTCGGCAAAGGTCCATTTCAAATTTCAATACCTGCAAACCCAGAGCACACATTATTTTTTCCTTTTAGAAAGGCCAATCCTTTCATTGGAAATCCAAATGACAAGGAAGAAACAAAGAATGAATATTAAGAAACAACCAAGCGAAAGATGACCAAAAGCTGAACGCTATGTGAACGGTAATCGCGAGCGCAAACCTGTGAAGGCTGAGCGCATGGAGATTGTACCAAACGCGAACGACTAGAAAGCAAACAGAAAAATGGGAAAGTAGAACGTTTCAGGAACTGCAGTTGTATTTAAACTGTATTGAGTATGTATTTGTCTCCATGCACAGTGAATGTTCCAGAAAATATATTAAAGAAGAGCAAGGATAACCGCAAAGAATTCCTGATGGATCTAAGAAGAGGGGAGGCTTTGAATTACAGAGGAAGATCACAGGACAGCGTAGATCATGTAATATGGCTCTGGAGATACAGGAGACCTGATATCGTAAGATCCTGTATAGGACTCCATCCACATAACGACATATACATACTCGACAACAAGGCTTACAGAAAACCAAGTAAGAAAGAAGTGATAGAAAATGTTATATAAAGTTTACTCTAGGGTGATCTGAGATGAGTGGAGAAAGGATGCCCACATATAAATGTATATTTACACAGTAAGGCTGGAATTGTTTTGCGTTTCAAAGTGAAACCCTAGAACTTTGATGTTTCTCAGGTCCAAAGTCCTGCAACAGAAAAGTACTCAGTGGGCCATTTCTTCACACAAGTTCTCACTAAGTACTTAGTGAGTGCTTTCTGCACATATATAGACCACCATAATTGGTACTCCTTTGAAAATGATCATAATGCTGTTCTTTTCTCTATGATGACGACTGTCAATCTGACAGGATCAACACATTTAAGAACATTTTTCTCTTCCTTTTTAAAAACGAAATGCAATGTCTATAATGTCATATTGTTTCTTTTTTTTAAAACTATCTTTGCTTAGTTGTACCTTAATACAAAAAGAAGTATTGTTAGATCCAAAACAGTAGGAACAAGAAACATATATTGACGCAAGCGTCAAAAATCGGCCGCAGACTAATTAATTGTTCCTTTCATGAGGTAATTATAGAAACTGAAATTTATTTTATTTATCTGTTAAAATATCTCTGTGACATGAAACACGTCCTACAACATTGCCGATTTTCTTCATGAATATTACATGTATAAACAAACTATATACATAGATCCCGGGTGGAAGTTTGATGTTTATGTATAGTTTTACATAAAATAAAATACAAAACTAAAGTTTTAACTTAGTTATAATTATAGATAGTTTTACTTCGATAAAAACGCAACAAATATGTGGGCTCCTTGTTCGCTTTAAGAGGATGTTAACCACAATCCCCTCCCGAACTCCCTCTAGATCCCCCACTACATTTCCTCTCTTTCAGTCCTTTTGTTTTAGTGTTGAGATGTGGCGGGAAAATGCTTGGCACATTGTAAAACGCGGTTTATCCTAGTCTCCTGGACCAAAATCTCTTAAGATTCTGAGCTTTTTTTAGAAAACAATATTTCATCATAAATTTTGAAAATTTTCCTTAGAAATGTATAAATATGCACTTAATTTTAAAATAAATACAACATATCCTGTTTAAAAAGAGAAAGTAAAAATGTTGAAATACAACGTGGCCTTTGTTTTTGACTATGACTAACACACATGCGAATTTTCTCCGCACTTCTGACATGTCACCGTTTGACAATCAGGATTGGATGAAACATTTACCCCATTATTGATACAATTTTAATTGTATTATCATTGTGCTTTTTGTTAAACATTTAAACAATCTTTGTTTAATATTCTATAATATGAATGTTAAATATTTTTATTTAATAAATTGTTTTAACTCCGCAGAAACGCACGACGACTTCAAACTTTCATATCAAATAACCAACCGCCTCCTTGCGGCCGGTAATGAAAATTTAAAATACCTTCTGATCGGAAGGTCTTGTGTTCGAATCATGGCCGCCACTGACGTAAGTCGATAAAAAAAAAACAAAAGAAGAAAAATTGGTAGCAACTCTTTCTTCGCCAAGTGCTCTGCACTTTGAACTGAAAGTTGCGGGTCATTTGAATGAGACCTTAAAAACCGAGGCCTCTTGTCACGCTAGGCGTTTGCATGATAAAAAAAAACCCTCATTGCTCAATGGTCCTGAGTGCCGAGTAAAAGTTAACAACTGAAGCCCTTCTCCCGTATATGGTGACAGTTCTATATGAGTGGAAAATTTTGAAACGGACATAAAACAACATGTTATCAACCAATCATTCCACTAACTGGTCTTTGACAAGAGTGATGGGAGTTTGGTCCTTCTCGACCAGAATGACCAACGTGTTTATGTAGACTCTTAAGGATGACTGAATTGTTAACTGCTTCCTTTGGATTACAGCCATTTCCACTTTTCTTTTTAGTACTCCATAGTCTAGAATGAAAGATTAAACATACCTGTCATACAAAACAAAATTTCTTATCTTCAACACAGAAGAGTTACACTGGATTTTTTCAATATTTCATTTAATGGAAATGCAATTAAGAAATGTTAATTGTGTAAAATGTAAAAATACACTCTTGTAAATAGACGCTTGTCCTATAAAAATCTGCAGCAAGAAAACTTCATATTTTTTTCTAACACTTTCTAAGAAAATATAATGAATTGTAAAGTTGCATGTTTGCACTTTTTACCAAAGAATGAGGCTTGGCCAGATATTAAACTCTATACCAAACAAACATTTATTCTAAAGTGAGAGGACCTAATTTAGCAAAGACATCTGAATTTTTGGAAGAAAAACGTTTTTGTGCTATTTATCCTTGAAGTTCCTGATTAAAGTGGATGAATGATAACAGGGCGGTCAATGTACTTCATTCTTTCTCTCTTTTCTACTTGATATAACATGGTGTATTTCCCAGTATAGGATCTTTGTGCTAAGATGTTCCCCAGTTAAATTGCTGAATGTGAATTTCAGTTGAATTTCTGAAACTGCAATTTCCTGTAAAAGAATAAATATGATTTAGAATACCTAGGTCTAAAGAAATATTCTTTACCTGAGTCTGTTTGGAATGTCCTAAAGCTTTTAAAGAATTTAAGATTGTTTTGAATTATAGAATATCAAACTGGAGAAAATCCTTCCGCATCAAAGTGGTTTTTTCCTGGTCTATTCTTGATTTTCAGATCAAGGTTGGTAAGGAAGCAAGCCATTAAGTAATAGTTATCGTATCATGGCTGCGGTGTTTTTCCTTTGAAGTAAAGTGTACAATGACTGGAGATACACCGATGGGCGGAGCCAGCAAAAACTGTGCCGTGTAAATAAATTATTGAACACTTACGCGATTTCATCATTTTAAATTACATGTATATTGAATCTGAATTACAGAATGAAATGGGCTATAATACAAAGGCTAAATTTCTGCAAGTGAAATAAAAGTCTTTTACATAAATTACAGTGCGTATCCCAAACTACGAAATGCTTTTACGGAAATATTCAATCCTCCACAACGAGAAATCAAGTTCTTGACACGAATTTCACACTGAATTATATTAAATATCACACCTTTTGTAATAAACCGCTTTAGCAAAAAAAAAAAAACATCTTTGCCGTGTTCTTTGCTCAACGAGAATAAGTGCAGATGTACTGCATCCACAGACGAAGACCCTGACACAGGCTTTTAGTGAACGCGACAGCTCTCAAATATGTCAAATGATCAACGGGTACCTTTTTTCTGGATTTTCGAATAACATCTGAGTTTTCCTTCTTAACTTCGATTTTTTTCCTGTTTGATATCCAAAGGTTTTCTTGTGATATTCATAAAAAAAATCCGTGCTTAAATTACGACGGGATGCTGCAATCCGACGTCCTTTCTCATGAACACACACACGCAAAATGAGTTTATTAAAAATATGTTAGGAAGGAGAGATTATCCATGCGGTCACCTGACAAAAACTACATTTTCTATTGGTGTAATTAAAAATCATGCATATTATTTGTGATATGACGTTTGATTGGCCATGATACAAGAAAGTTATTGAATATTTATTATGGTGTATCCTGATTTATTTGGACGAAGGGCGGAGACTCGTGCTTCGCACTCGTCACCGCCCTTCGCCCAAATAACTCAGGATACACCATAATAGATATACAATAACTATTACTTGTATATTTATTATGGTGATACACCGTAATAAATATTCAATAACTTTCTTGTATCATGGCCAATCAAACGTCATATCACAAATTATTATGCATGGTTTTTAATTACACCAATAGAAAATGTAGTTTTTGTCAGGTGACCGCATGGATAATTTGTCCTTCCTGTCAGTATTTTTAATAACCTCATTTTACGTGTGTGTGTTCATGAGAAAGGACGTCGGGTTGCAGCATCCCGTTGTAATTTAAGCACGGATTGTTAATGAAATTCACAAGAAAACCTTTGGATATCAAAGAAAAAAATTCGAAGTTAAGGAGGAAAATTCCGGTGTTATTCGAAAATCAAGAAAAAAAGATACCCGTTCAGCATTTGACATATTCGAGAGCTGTCACATTCACGAAAACGCTGTGTCAGGTTCAATATCTCTTCATCTGTGAGTGAAAAACACGGCAAAGATGGTATTTTCTGCTAAAGCGTTATATTACAATAGGTATGATATTTTAATATAATTCGGTATGAAATTCACGTCAAGAAAATCGAACTTGATTTCTCGTTGCGGAGGATTGTATATTTGCAGTGTTCCGTAAAAGCATTTCGTAGTTTGGGATACGCACTGTAATTTGAAAAACTTTTATTTCACTTGCAGAAATTTTGCCTTTGTATAGCCCATTTCATTCTGTAATTCAGATTCAATATACATGTAATTTAAAATGATGAAATCGCCTTGGTGTTCAATAATTTATTTACACGGCACAGTTTTTGCTGGCTCCGCCCATCGGCGTATCTCCAGTTATTGTACACTTGACTTCAGAGGAAAAGCACCGCAGCCATGATACAAGAACTTATTGAGTCTAATTTAGTAGAAATTGGTTCATGAGTAAGAGGATCAGTATCAGTCCAAACATTTTTCGTACTACAGTCATTGAACTTGTCGCACACTACTCGTTTCAAACCTCTAAATTCCAGTCTGTTTCTCTGCCTTAGTGAGACTTCTGCTGACATAGCTAATTGTCCTCTCATTTTCTCCCTGCTCCTCGTGCAGCACAGCACCTAAAATAGTATGATTTGCGTCTGTGTTCAATTCAAAAGTTCAATTTTAAATTGGCTATTGTTAGGTACATAACTTATAAATTAAAATCAAAACTGACTTCGAAAGACAACATTATGTTTTGAACTCATTTTAAAGTTTCGGTTAGCCTTAACATTTCTGCGATTTTCTATAAACAATGTGTTTGTACGAGGGCCGTTCAAAAATTACGCGGACTGTTCTATTATTTACTCTTACAGACGTCATATAGTTATGAAATTTCAGAGAAATATGTTTCTTAAAGATTCCAATAGATTTTGGGCAAAATTTCTGTATTTTAAAAAAAATTCTACTAAAATTATCGGTATGTTGATATCGCTGATGGAGAGGTACGGAGCACGGCAAAAAATTAGAAGCAAAAGCATGCGAAATCCAAAATTTAACTCATTAATTTTCTAAAATTCGCGATATTTTTTGACAATTTTCTCAAATGTATCTTTAAATTGTTCTTTTATTATGTATTTAGATTTCTGACGTGATAACTGAAGTACTAACAGAAATATAGTGATTTTTCTCTGATGCGATTCCCGTGAAAACGACTGTAAAAATGACGTCTCCTGAATTGACGGCGCACCACACTTTTGTTAAATTAGGTGTAATCCTCGAAATATCGCCAACATAGATCCAAAATATGCATAATAAAACATGTAGTAAACTAGGGTATTCGTGACATTCGTCCACAATTATCGACGAAACTTTATCCGGACTGTAAAGAACGTGCATGTGATTGATGAGAGTCATCAATATCACACTATATCTCATAAATACCTGCAGTTTTTGGTTTTAAAACAAAAAAAGAATACTCTTTACTTGTTTAATAGATTTTAAGCTTGACAAGAAATGGTGTTTGGATGTTGAGTAGATAAGGTAACTCAAACTATACAGGTACTCTTGGGAAAATGTTGAAAAAATGAAAGCTCAATCACATATTTTTTAAAATGCCTGTGACGTCGATGATTTTGCTGCTCCGTGACTTAATGATATGTCCTGAAAAATCACTTAAAATTGATACCAATTTACAACAATTTGATATGAAATTTTGAAGACCACATAGGTAAAGATTCTTTTATATTATGTGTGACATTTTGCCCGATTATTTAGTCAAATATTTTTTCTGTGCAACAAGTCCGCGTAATTTTTGAACAGCCCTCGTAATTACAAGAAATTGACAAAATTATCAATGTATTTGAATGTATCTAATTACCGGTACATTTGAAAGTTATTGACCCCAACCGCCTAAGTAAAGTATTTGTTCAGTTTTTGTGTTATTAAATACATTTATTCCAATTGATCAGACATCCGAATGTTGATCTTTTCCTACAAATGTACTAGTATATCTTATCCCATATTGCCCAATCCAAGTTTTCATTTGGTGCTTGCTTGTGTCATAATTTATGTCATCCTTCATTTGGTTGATCTTTTTATAAATCTTCTGAATCGTTGCTTTTAGCTCTTCTATTTGTGTGTTGCATGTAGATGTTTGTCGTATTGTAGCTTTTCAGCTTCCTCCTCTTTCATTATCGCATTTCTAAGCTCTTTAAAATCTGCTTTGTTTTAAAACGTGCTCTACGAAGTCCTTCCCATCCAAATATACGTTTTTCAAAATCTGTTGCTCTTTAGGTGTTATTTCCCTGTTTTCTATTTCTTATCAAATATGTCTTCCACACGCACTATAAAACTGAGAAAGTACCAATTGCGCACCGTTATTAGTATACCTATCTCTGTGTGCATATGAAGTAATTAAGGTGAATTTATTCACTTAAGAAAAAAGACTTTCGCTCGGGTCTTCAACTCGACTTACTTCCATTCATATGACTCCTCGATATATCCCATTGAACTTGAAATAAAGAAACCATAGAGTCTGACACACCTTTCTCATATTTAGATATTTTAAAGGAAAAAGACCTCAAAGGAAACCTAACAACGAAACTTTATGATAGACTTTTCTATCCTAGACTTCTCTAACGGATGTAGCAATATATCTTAATCACCTACTTATAGGGTTTATAATTCCAATTTGATTCAGTACACAAGAGCATGCTCCGCGTACAAACAATGTCTAAAATGAGACGAGCTATTGACAAACACGTTTATGAAACAGTTTCGTGTAAAGTCATCATTTAACAAGTTCTTCGGTCGATATAATCATCTTGTCCAGCAAATAAAATCTATCATAAAGGCGAATGCTGACTGGAGATTTCCATACTAATTGTTAGGTACTAATAAAAAAAAAACTCACCTCTGCCTTGTTTTTTTTATAAAATAAATTGTAGTCAAAACATAGATTATATTAATTTATGTTATAATATAGGCTTATTGAAATTATATCGGTTATTATTGGCACGAGTTGGTTGTACAAATGCACAGTGCGTATATACAACCAACGAGTGCCAATATGTACAATAAAATAACTTCAATAACTCATTAAATATATAGTTTAAATTTTTAACATTGATTTGCATTATTTGTATTATTTTTATTAAATAACCTAAAAACAATGAGAATTGTCAGTATCGGTATTCAAACTGATACCGTTTAAAATCAGCGTATTTCCTGTAAATGTTCAATATCACATAATTCCAATGACCCTACTGATCATTTTGATTTACTTTTTGAGGTTTTTATTGGGCCTAAAAGGTATTAAACTGTTAATAAATACTTTCACTTTTGTATGAAAATAAGCAAATCTTTTTTAGCTGCAATTACTCTTCATAAATATTGTCGTCGAGTTGTTGACCAGACGATATTTTTGTTTACAGCGGGACGTTCGATATTGAACGCTCGTATTCGGTATATTTCGGTACATATCCGTACAAGATATTGAACACTAAAATTCTGTAGACTTTTAGGTTTTTATTATTATTATTATTATTATTATTATGTATTAGCTATATACATGTACTAATATGTTTACTTAGAAATTCTTGAAAACACACACATGCTCATGTGCTGCAGTAGATTATTAAGCTAAACCTTCTTTACTTTTTAACAAAACTGCATTGCGTCAACCAGAACATACATTGTATGAAAATGGTGATCTATGACTGCACCCAGTTCCTTCAATTTAAGTACACGTGTAGTATTTCGAGTACAGATTAGTATAGTCTGTTTTATTCCATTAATATATATAAAAAAAAAGATATGATTAATATACCGCGTAATAAAAAATAAAAACAATGACTAGCTGCAAATGTATGAATATTTTTATGTGTACATTTTTATGCCTGCCTTAAATTGCTATTAAATCCTTTATTTCACTTCAGGTAATTACCAAAACTATCCTCCGGATGTCAGATATCTATTGTACTGCGTACTGTTAGCTGAGAATTATCAGTTGAATCTCAATGAACAACCACAGAAAATTAGAGGAGATAAATTGAGGATAAAATATTTTCCTACTGTAACCCAACTCTGTTCTGTAGACCTACCTGATGGAATACTAGAAACAAATAATGGTGATATTAGATTTATCTCAGATAACACCCGACATGATGTTATGTACGCCTTTGTCACGGAGTGTCTGGTTAAGGAGAGTGATCTAGAGTTTTTCCTGACCATGGCGTCACGTGATGTGATATCAGAATACTGCAGGTCCTGGGATTATAAGAGGGGTGAAGGAGAGAGATGCTTGTTTCTTCCGGACAGACCAGGGAAGATGTACAACCTCTTCGTAGATAAACTACAACTGGAAATCATCAAACACTGTACCGTGTTGGACAAACATATTCATGGCAGTATCAGTGTTAATTGTGAGTATTTTAATTTTTTCTGGGATTTTTTTTTTCATTAGAGAGGGCACGTACAGAAATGTTATTTCAAAAAGGCACTCGATCAGTAATATCTTTCCTAATCGTTTTTTTTTAAATTAATATCAATGAGCATTATATACAACTTGTATATCAATTGTTTAAGAACGATGAAACGGTACATATATTACAAGTTTCATAAAGTCTCCGCAATGCAAAAATCATTGTGTACTGCTTGTTTACACTACTTAGTCAGAAACGTACTGAAATTCCAGTTTTTACAAACAAACTTAAAAAATTACTGACAATGCACTTCCTTTACTGTAAAACATCGACAATTTTTACTGCTGGTGCTGATAAACTAAGAAAAGTGCTGACAATCTTAGTCGGAGCTTATAAACTAAGACCATTACTGACGTGCTTACTGTCCCTGCTAAAAAACTTAAACAATTGTTGACATTTACTGATAAGTACTGTACCCGTTGTTCTCCCTCTTGGGGAGTCTGTAGAGGTGTGAAACTGATCTTTTTTTTTTTAATTTGAAAGGGCTATAATTTGATTTTTAAAAAATAAAAAAATAGTTATAATCCAATGGTATTTAAAAAAGTTACTGTTTTTTTTTCACCCAGTGTAAAAATCTTCCTCTGGAGAACAGCAAAGTCATGATTGATCATATTTATATGGAGGAATCCTTATTAGAATTAAGTTTGTTCAAATCATGACCTCTGGGGATATGGTGGGGCCACAATGGGTGATCAAAAATTTACATAGGAATACATATATTAGAGTTTTTAATTAAATCTTATTTCCAAGAACAGCAAATTCATGATTGGTCGTAACAATATGGAAGCCTCCGAAGTTAATTTACTCAAAACATGACCCCCAAAAGTACAGAGGGACCATAATAAAGGAATAAAATGGATTAATATAATAATAATAAAAACTTCTTAAGAACAACAAACCTCCCATACACACCCCTAGACCATTTTTTATATTGAACTTTTCAATACTGAACTTAATTCTGCTTTTATCCTAGCTGCAATAATGTAGCCCTCTCCGATTTTTTTATCTGATGTTTTCTGGAGAGGACCACAATTCCACAGCATCTCCTATTATGGTGCAAAAATATTTTTTTTTAATACCGGCGACTGCAGGCAATATAAATTGTTTTTACATTCAACTTACTTCTAATAAGACAAAATTTTTATTCACTCTCGACATCATAGCCCGTTAAACGCGAAAACCATGTAAAATAAATTTGTGTATCTTAGTCTGCCGCCATGACAGTTCACACGTGACGTACTGAGACTTGCTCTTGAAATTTAGAATAACTCAATAAAGCAAATGTCGATGTTTATAAATAATTGTGATGAATAGTAACACTACACATCGATAAATAAAATCATTCCATATGTTATTTTTTCGTAAACAGCGATATTTAGGCTTAAAATAAGGTAATTCCAAAGAAATCCGCTTCCTATAGATCCTTAATCTCATTGGCTGTCTCAAAATAAAATCTGTCAAGGTCAGTAAACATGGCGAATAAATTTAAGTTGTGATGTTGACAATCACGAAAAATAAGGATATATGGATTGTTCTGTATATTTTTGGATCGATTTATGTCTGGGATAACTACATTTTGGAAGTCAAGGTAAGACATATTAATAAAATAGCCGTTTACTGACAAATTGAGCCGAAATCCATGCGGGAGCGAATCGCTCCCGCTTTGCACCATTACGGAGATCCTAAGGAGTTGTAGCCCCCCCCCCAAAAAAAAGGGAGAGGGCTGCATTATTGCAGCTACTTTTATACTAGCTAATGTGCTCTGATGAGAGATGTGGTCCATGGGCCTCTTGAAAGATATATTTGTTTAAAAAAAAAGTCGTCTGAACTCCTTAAGGCTCTTCAATTTTCGGTTTCTTAGTGAACCTCCCAAAACTTTCTGTGCGTCTTTGTGTAACAGGGTATTCAAAACCAATTCAAAAAAAATAGACCAGGCCCCAAGACAATAAACTGAGAACAGTGTTAAGTCAAAATTTTGTTTTTATTATCTTAATTTAGATTCAATGTATTAGCTTAAAAATTTGCATTTGTGCAAAACACTTCTATTCAAACAAATTATAAAAATTTTAATTTATCATCAAAATTATTTCGAAAGTTATGTCGATTTGAAATTTTGACTTAAGTTTATTTTCCAATTTTGGGTCCTAGAGCCTAAAAAAATCATTATGTACATGTATATATTGAAGTCCATGTTCATTTAAAATCAAGTCTTTTAGTTTCGACTTAATAATTTGCTGCAAGTACTCGTACTACGAAAATTATTTATATAAAAAATGTTTAACCTTAAATGTCATCCAAAAAGACTAATTCCTATAGAACAACAATGTAAATCAAGTTGTCTGATGTCTGTTACGTTTGTGATGTCTGTTACGTTTGAATAAAAGATATGGAAAAGGTTATTTAGCTTTTTAATATTTTACACAAGTAACTTCCCTTAAAGATATGACTGATTTTAAAGAGTTAATGGAATCAGATACCGCAGTGTTTTTATGTAATCGTTAAGAATGCATAAATATTTGAGTCGTAATTTTTAATGCGGTATAGGTATTTGTTTTAACTATTTTTTTTTTTTTGCAGTGGGAGTCCCAGAAGAAATACTAGAATGGGACCAGGAGGCAAGAGAGCGGTATGTGGAGTACGCTAAAAGAGGAACACAGACGGTCCACCATGCCAGGGGGATGATCGTTGGATGTGCTGGGGCGGGGAAAACCACGCTACTTAAACGACTGCTTGATTGTAGTGAAAAAGAGATTAAGGAAATAAAATCTACTGAGGGATTGGAGGTGCATGAAGAAATATTTGATATATGTGATGAAACCAAATCTTTAGAAAGTGAGTAAAAGTAATTTGTGGTATAAATTCACCTTTTAATAGTAGAAGGATTAAAAAAACGAAGTACATGTAATATGTAATATAGTCTAAAAATTTACTGGTACAAAGAACTATATTGCATATATTTGCCCCCACAAAAGTCAAATTTTAAAACTTCCTGAAATGTGCTGAATTCAATAAATTGTATGAGAAATATAAATTAACAGAAAATATTATAGTGTCAAAGCAGTGTATTCACAATTTTTGTTTTTATGACGTCACAAACTAGTCCGATTTTATATCCTTTTTCAGAAAGAGGACAAAATGGACAAAATTTCAACAATTTTAGCTTTAAAATTTATAGAGCGCAAGTTTGTTCAGGAACAATATTGACATATTTCCTTGATATTATCATTCTACACATTATATCAAAATATTTATCCTGAACACACATGCGCTTGGTGACTTTTACTCAAAATATCGACGAAATATGTACATTTTTCTGTAAAATTCATAAAAAACTGAAATTTATGTCATGTTTGTGACGTCATTACGTATATATGGCGTCATTACTTATGAAAATATTCAGTGCTTTGAAGTCAGCATATACTCCCCTGTTTAAGAACTTGATTAAATATACCTCCATCAAAGTTTGACTTAGGGGGCAAATATTGGTTATTACCGAATAAAGTTCTTAAAAAAAATTATTAAAGCCTATAATAAATAAAAAAAAAGTAATGACATCTTCGAGATTATAAAACTTAGTTTGATTAAATCACTCAATGCAAGGAATAGGCCTATGCAATTCCAATACAAAATAAACAGATTGATCCGTGAATTTGATTCTTTGCGTTTCTTTAATGTTTAAAAATGTTCGATAGTGCCGATTTACTGATATGTACTACATATGTGCTCTACCAAGCATCTATCTTTACGTCTCACAAAAAAGGAGGAACCTCTGATGTACTTTGCTACAGTTTATTCAAGAAGCGTTGTAACTCAAATGTTGATTCTCAATAACTCTAAGTAATTTTGAAAAAATTAAAATCCTTTTTTTAATGTTAACATCAAAATGGACAATTTTTCTTCGCCTCATACCTCTCCTCAGAAGAAACTACAAACATAGCTGATAGCATCAACCAACTGCTTTGTTAGAAATCACTTTGTTCTCTGAAGTTGATTTTGAAAAGATGCTGGAGTTCCTCATTGTCATCTACATGTATATAGTCTTTGGAGTCTAATACCCCATTCATACGACAGGATTTGCATACCTCAGTATATTTTACACATGAGTAAATTTACTCACATGTGCAATTTTTGTCGTATGAACTGATATACTCATATGTAAATTCTGCACAGTTGAGTAAATTTACACCTAGTCAGGACTAGGTGCAAATTAACTTTTGCATACACTTTGTAGCAAATTATTAGTTCATGTGTGTAAATTGTGTCGTATGAACACGCAGCAAAATTACTTATGTATGTATTTTGTTTTGTTTATTGCATAAATATCCATTTTAAGTGTTGTTTCGGTTGTGTATGCATTGGCGTGAAAAATATCAGTCCGTAAACATGGTGGCTAGATTGATTGATTGATTGTATATTGTTCAACATCCCTCTCGAGAATTTTTCACTTGCTGGTGGAGAGCTGCAAATTTTGTCCTATACTCGGCAATCAGAGCCATTGAGCAGGGAGGGATCTTTTTCATGCTGGCCAGCAACTACTGCGACACGGGACCTCGGTTTATATACGGTCTCATCGGAAGGACCGGTCTCCACATCCAACAATGGGATTCGAACCCGCGACGTAAGGAGCAACTCCTTACTTCGCGACTCTATAGCAGACGCTCAAACCACTGCGCCACACGGGCGACTTGGTAGCTAGAAACAAAACTATTAAACAAGGAGCCATTATCCCCTCCGAGATAAATTTTCGAATTTGCAAAAACGAGAGCATCTTGCACCCATTCTGGCAAACCTATGTTTACGAGGGTTGATCCAAAAGTTCGTGGAATTTTTTCATATTTTATTTATTTTTAAGTGGAATTGGTTGAAAATTACAAATTAAAATGTAGACACTTGATGAAAATTTTGAATTGAAAAACAGTTTAAATATCTTTGATAGTAACTCTATCGCAGTTGCCATAGAAACGGTTATTTGGAAATGCAGGGGAGACATTAACGAGTTTATTTTCATATAATTTTTAATACGTGAAATGAGATTTAAACCGGCCTATGTGGTATATAAAACGAAAATTATGACATTATTACGATTGCTTGATCTTTCATGAACCTTTGTGTGACAGTTTTACTGATTTTACTGGATATTTAGTTTATTAGTTGATTATTTTTTGTTCATCTTTAAATTGTTAGACAACGTCAAATTTCGGTCAAGTCATACGTTTTGTGAAAAATCCGGGATCACTTTATCTAAAACGCGTATATTATTGAAAAAGGCTTGGGAAAAAATACATTTAGTTACTTGTCTTTCGGTGACATAAGAAATTTAAGAAAATAGAACTGCCATGGACGTTGATTAAAGGTGTGGTCGCATTTTTAAGGCTCTGTTTTAAGTGCAGATCCCCCTAAACAAACTACAAGCGTTAATGGACGTTGTCGGCTGCCGTACACAGTTCTTGACATTGCTACTGAAATTGTAACATCATATGGAAAGATGGGTAGTAATTTGAAATATGAGTGAAAAATGAAAATAAGTTGGTGCGAGAGGATACTAAGGCTTTTTTGAGGAAAAAATGGAGAAAAATGGAGAAAAAGACAACATTTTGTAGAATTACGAATTCAAATTGGACATTAGGGCGAGTTGCATCTATAACGTGACGTGACATATCTAACTTGACGTTACGTCGAAGTCTCCCCCGGGTTTCACAACTATCCATATTTAGAAAGCGCTTGTGACCTCATTGGTAATTGGAAAGTAGTGAAATTTTCCAACATTGTTGGATTATAACTCTATATTATGAATATGCCTGTTGTTTGCTTTCATCGAATCACGATAAAATTTTAGAAAGAAATTCCACGAACTTTTGGATCAACCCTCGTATGTCTCTAAAAATATAGCTGAGGTCGCAAACAAGTACCCTGTAGGATCAATAAGTAGTGTCCTTTCTATTCAAGTTCTCTTCTTGGGAATGCTCCGGAGCTATGATAGGAACATGCATTCCATCAATCGCTCGGGCCCCATTACCGTTTAGCTCTTGATGACTTTCTTCTACCCTTCTCTGTTTTTAATTCAAGCAAGCTACTCATATATAAGTTAATGTTACAGGAATTTCAATAAACTAGTGAAAATAAGCATTCGTAAATAACCTCCTTGGCACCTAATCTCATCATGTCCAGGGGTTTGTGTTAATTTCCTTTTAACATATTTGTATTGTTCAAAGATTTTTGAGATCGATCACATGATTCTACTGGAAAATACATACTTTTTATATAATATTCAAGCAAATATCTTAAAATGGCCTCGCACAATTGATGTACTGTAGATTTCCCAACGGCAAAAATATTTTTAATTGGTCTCATTTCTGTCGAAGACATCAACTAGTAGATGGCAAGTCACCTTTTTCTTTACACAATCTCTTCTACAAAATTTGGAACGGAAGCCAAAACATTTTCCAACAATAAAGCAATATGAGCTGTATTTTTGAGAAAACTATTTTGCTATTAAAATGTGTTATTATTATTAATTTGTATATAATTTAAACCCTTATAATTAAACCAAAATAACATTTTTAAATTGTTTTAAAAGAAATGCTTATGTACAATCGATTATATAGCATTATATAAGAAATCAATAATGCACAGGACGACAATAATGTCATATTTCTTCAATTAAAGCTTAAAAAAAGTTCTTCCATCGCAAATATGAACAACTGTAGTTTATAAATGTTATATTTTTCTATCATTGAAATAGTTGATTACAAATTTGCAATGAAACTTTCCCATGTCAATCTTGCAGCTCATATTGATAATTTTAATAAGTTTTCCTTCTTTGTGTGTAAATTCTTATACCATTCTTTCTCCTTAAAGTCATTAATTAAGTTGTACTCAAAAATCAGTTGAACGGACCCCCCCCCTAGTTTCTTTGAGGAAGATTTAAAAGTTAGTCTTAAAAGTTAGTCTTATACTCAAACAGTAAGGAAATACCCTTTCTCTATAAAAAAAATGACAATTTTGTCCATCTCCTTAGTTTATATGAAAACGTGAGGATTTACTAACAGGACATAAATCTCGTCTGAACTCATAGCAAATTAACTTTTACTTATGTGTGTAGATTTACTTATATGTAAATTTGCACATATAAGTAAATTTTCGTCGTATGAATGGGGTATAGGTCTTCCAAAAAAAAAAAAAAAGAAAAAAAAAAAAAAAAAACTGGTAGGCACTTATTGTGTCCCTAATTAGCCAACCTATTTTCCATTTACTATGAAACAGATGTATTCAAGAACTTCTACTTGCGAAGAAGAAAAGACTTGCTGTAGTCTTGAGCTGAACATTTAGTTACATCGACACCTTTTATCAATTAAAAATAGTTACCTCCTTTCATATGTGGACTTGATATATACTTGTGAATTCAAAATAAAGGACACTATAGACTCTGTAATATCTGTTTAATATGTGGTTGTTTTACTGACTATGGCCAATTTACAACGAAAGTTATGACAAACGAAAGAACATGCAGTAATATAAATCCTGCATGTGGTGTTATACGTCTCACAAATTAGGCTACTGACACACAAGTTGTTGTTAAAGGAATTTGAAAAACTTAGCTAAAGTTTAAAGTCAATCGTAAATTCTATTATCTCAGATTGCCGGAAAGAATAAACACACTGGTTTGATAGAGTATTTTTATTATGTGGCGCTTTTGGCCACCGTGGTAATTGTGGGGGCTACCAAAGGGCTGCCCCCAAATAAGTAACAATTAGCAAATAATAGACGGCCGAGATATGACGAATCACGTACTGGATTTATCGCAAATGCGTGACGTCATAAATGGTAATTATGCAAGATATGCATAGATCATGCAACAATTATGAAGTAATTAATTTAAAAGATCAATAAAGTAAATGTCAATATAAAGTTACTAAATATATGTACAACTTAAATGTTCTGAAACCATTTATCAAGTGCACTCCATTTGCGACGATTGATGGTAAACACAAATATCACCGCGATGAGACTGATTGCAAACGGGAAAAATACAATCCAACACTGCAAATTAAAATGATAAAAAAAAAACCCAACAGCAATCCGACAAATGGAAATGGGTGGGCGGGCTTTAAAAGTTTAAAATTGGAGAAATTATTCGGAGCAAACACATATTTAAAAACATCACGGGAAGTTGGATTAGGTTATCTGTCGACCGATCATTCCTGTCATGTGCTTCTTGACAAGACCGGGCAACCGGAAAAATCCGTATACAATTCAGTGTTAAATAAATGACACAACAATTTGTATGATAAAGTCTGTCAGCATTCAACTAATGGTAGACTGTATTTGCTTACAAGTTCATTGTATCGACCATAGAATTTGAGAATTGTTAACTTTAATTGAGATTGTTGATATTCTTGTTTCACCAACTTATTATTGTCATGAAGGAAAAAATAAAGGACATTTGAATGCTTGCAACAACGTTAACAATATTTTAAAAGTAGGGGAAAAACAGTTCGTGAAATGAAAAATTAACAGCAGTCACATTTTTTATTGCAAATTAAAAACTTAATTCTAAGATACAGCATCTTTATGTTTACTTTCTTTGAATGGACGCATGAAGCTTTCACGCCATTTCTGATGTTTGAATATGCATGATAAATGCAATACGTCCTGATCCTATCCCAAATCAGGTTGCCTATGATTGTAATCCTACAGGAGTAAGACGGAATTTGATTTTTTACTTTTTTGCACTCGAAGTCTAAAGAAAATTGAATTTGTACTTAAGTTTCTGAACTAATGATCGAAAAATGTTTGTCCCAAATATTTGTATTGAAGTAATTGTCATTTCAAAATACAGCATTTTCATTGGGTTTTATAAATGCAGGTAATTTGGTCACCTTTAAGTGATACTTGTTATGTTTCCTGGCGATGATGATTGCCTTATGATACTTCTTTACTTATGATTATGCAGTTTTATATGTATAACAAACTGGTCTATATACTACTCTTGTAACCTTATTCTGTTACATTTGACAGTAATTTGGCAAACACTTTTTTGTAGCAAGGGCAAAAGAGAAAGACTACGAAAATAGAAAAAATCTTGATGCAAAGACTCTTAGTATCTTTGACTTTGGGGGACAGTGTGCTTACTACGCTTGTCATCAGATTTACCTGACCAGGAGAGCTTTCTATGTAGTGGTGGTTGACGCATCTAAACGTCTTGACCAGAAGGTTGATAAAGCCGTATGTGATCAGGATGGCAGTGTGTTCTCTGGATGGACATATGGAGGTAAAATTGTTAAGTCCACAACTAACAATTCAATTTCTTTTATTGAATTATAAAGTGTCCGTTTGTGTCCGTTTGTTAAACAACTGGTTTTAAAAAGTGCAATTAACGTATCTAATGTATAATGAAGGGAAATTGAACAATTTTAAAACATTTTAAACTAGTTACACGCGTATTGCTGGATAGAGATGAAAATGAAATGAACAGAATTCACTGGACTGATAACATATGAAAAAATGGCTATTTTGTATTTTTAAAATCTTTTGAAGAGTTATCTGCCCTTGATGGTAAGAAGAAAATTTTAATTTTGTCAAAATGTCTCTTGTTAATGATTCATTTTATTTCATACTTTAATAAGAATAAATTTTTTTTGCAGATTTTCACCAAGAAATTTGTTTGAAGTTTCAATGTCTTTTTACAATATTTCAATAACATGTGCTGCCCAAAGGCTTTAAAGTAAAATTCAATGTGCAATTACAGCACCTGAAACGTTTCATTATTTTCCCACTTGAATGGTGAGCAAACGGTGAACGAACAGCAAGCGAGCAATGAACGAACACAGAGCGAACGGGGAGCGAATGGTGAACGCAGTTAGTGAACGTTTGGTATCCGGTGAACGGTGAGCGAACGCAGAATGCGAGCAGAGCGCAAACGCGAGCACAGGGTGAACGGTGAAAAAAGACGAACGCTAAAAATGTTTCGTTTAAGACGGAAAGGCACTAATAACATTCATAGTCCTTGTTATTTTATATCTAATATTTTTAGGTAAAATTTCATGAAATAACGAAAATGATTAATTCCCCACCATGACAGTATTACCCCGTGTGTGTGTGTGTGTGTATGTGTGTGTTGGTTGGTGGGTGGGGGTTAACTTTTGTATATGTACCAACACTGACCCTTATAAATGTTTGCATGAAACATGGGTATAACGAACGTTAATCACAAAAGTTCATTTAAGCAATACAAATCGGAAGCAGAGCAACACTGCACTCTAAAACATTAGAGGTTGGATCAGGTTCCATGAAGAAGTAAGCATACCCTGTTGACCGGTCAAGCCCGCCGTATTGACATGATCAGGAAAACGGAAATTATGCGTTAACAATTCAGTGTATTGGCCTAAAAATCAGTATGAAAAATGCTAGTGAGCATTCGATTTTTGTTTTCATTTGGGATATTCAAAGAATAAATATGTTTTTTTTTTTTTAGACTACTTTGTGTTCTGGATAAAGTCTATCCACACCTACTGTGGATCAGACAATGAAAAAGATCCCAAGCCCATAGTGCTGATTGTTGCGACTCATTGGGAGGAAGAAATCAGGCAGTTTAAGGTGAATTTTTGTCATTAGAAAGAGATTCGTTATTAAAGAATTTCATGCTTGTTAGTTTAGATTAGGTTTAGAATTTCTATTTTTAAAGATAAACCTTAAATGCAATTTACCTTGTACATGTTTATCCCAGATATATAAAATGATCATATTTCGTTGTTTCTTTTGTACAGAGGATTTTGAGGTAGACTTCTAACTCATTTCAGAATAAAAGGACAAAACCATAATATTGTTAATAATTAGGCAAAAAACATACATGTTTTTGTCAAATTTGTAAAGAAGAAACTGAGACATCATGTGTACTGATTATTCGGGAGTCTGCATTTAGCGTTCATTTATGTCATCTACATCGATCTGTCATAGAAGATATCTAATGGTTAGACATATGTACAGGACATCTTCCTTCATTATATGCAATAAAGGTTAAAGTCATATCAAGAAGTCAAATGTCACATATTATGACGTCATCTTTTAATTCTTTTAATATCATTTGCATGAATGCACATATTGCCGAATACTTTACACTTCTCTTTTTCTGAGTGGGATTAATTTAAACTACCGTATAGCGGGTTATTTTAGCGAGGTGATGATTTTAGCTTATTTTGGCGTTTTGATGCTAGGCCGCTAAAATTTTAATAGTCAGTACTGTTCTTAGTGTTCATCTGCAAAGAGCTGAAACACTGTGTCCGCCCAAAATAAATTAAGCCAAAATTATAGGCATACCCTTAGCAGGCAAAACCAAATTTTACACCTGCCAAGAAAACCCGCTATACAGTATGTACGCGGTCAAAAATTGCCACAGAGGTTTTTCACAGGGTACTTAAAGTGCCTTTAAGACGTAAAAAGACCTTTACAGATTTTGTACCTCAGAACAAAGATTTTTTTTTTTCAAAAATAAATTTGAGAGAATTGTTGGCCTATCCATTATGTATTACCTTAACATTATGTGACTCAAGAACCTCTTTAATGGGATTGATGATTTAGTTTAGAAAGTCGGTTGCACGTAATTTATGCAAAATAATGTTTTACAAAACAAGATCAGGATGATAAACAGTAACAGGGAAAATGCTAATGTACTACATTTAGTACAACATATAAGCTAATAGAAACAAAATGTTTTGTCAATGCAGGATAAAAAGGACTTGATGAAGAGCCTGCAGTGTCAGTTTCCGAAGTCATCTTATCTACCACAGTACATCAGAGATGATAACTTTCATTGTACACAGTTTTCTCTACCTCTCCATGACTTAGAAAGAAACTTTTTCGAAATAGCTTCTCATCAACGATGGAATGAAAGCATTCCAAAAGAATGGTCTTTCTTTGGAATAGAAATAAACCAGAAAAAAACATCAGAGCGGATCACGAAGATTTCAGAAATAACAACAAAAGTTCCAGAGATTACTGCTGAAGGACAGAAATGTTCTGATAAATCTGAAAAAGGAACACAAGATATGCTTCGATACTATCATGATGCTGGAAAAGCTTTATATTTTCCTGAAAATGGTTTGGACGAAGAAGTAATTATTGATGTGCAATGGTTTATTGACGCCTTCAAACATACCATCACAGACGAGCTAAATTTCAAAGGTATTCCAGTGACCCAAGCGGACTGGGAAGAATATTACAAGACAGGACATTTGAAAGACCGACTTCTCACAGAGATATGGAAACACAAAGATGAAGAGTTGTTTAAAAAGCTAAGGAAAATAGACGAAAACAATGATGTGAGAGGCGAGTCTTATGACAGAGATAAACAATTTCTACAATATCACAAGGAATCACTTCTCAATTTTATGCAAAGACTTGGTCTGTTGGCTCTTGGCGAGGACTCGCACTACGTTCCGTGCATGAATCGGAAAGAGATGGAGACAGTTATTCCAAATATCATTCATACATCAGAGAATAAATCATCCGTTCTTATTTTTCAATTTACATTTCTCCCATTTTTCTTGTTTTTTCGTCTTGTTGTTGCTTGTATGCAGGAAAATGGTTGGACTGTACTTAAAACGCATGGAACATCTTGCCTCTACAGAAACGCTGCTTTATTTTCATTTGATAGATACAATGTTGTATTATCCGTCACAGAAGACTCTATACAACTTCAGATATATCATTCCATGTCAACTGGTGTTTTGGAAAGGGATAAAACACAAAAAATCCAAGGAAGAATAGAAGAGATATTAAATGATTTTGTTGGAAGATTTCACAGGAAGATGTTGTTCGTAAGAGGCTTTAGGTGCCGGATGGACAATACAAATGCGATACCAGTGGATATCAAAGATCATTTTCTGTCTGAGAAAGACATTCCAAAGGACGACCAGGAAATAATTTGTCCTCTGCATTCCATGTTTGATCGACATACTATCAATACCAAAGAATTCACCAGATATTGGAAAATTTAGATGAATGCAAAATAATGCAGCATAAAAAATCCCATTTTTGCAGTTTGCAGATAGTACCAGTTTTTAGTGTATCCTCTTAAAATTGTAAAAACCGACATATATCGACCAAATATACAAAGTACAGTGTATTATATATATAAAAAAAAAAGAATAATGAATATTATGTATCGCTCGCGCCACGTTTGTGTATTTTGATTATATCATAACTAAAACAATGACTAACTAAGGCTGTTTTTTTTTTTGCAAATAATATTCTATTATACATTAATCGGAAAATAATTTTAATCTTTAAAAAAGGATTTTTTTAATGCAAGCAATCTAAACATTAATCATTAATTTTGCAAGATTTTGCAATGAACTTAGATTTTGGTCTTAGCCCTAACTTCTTTTTTCTAAAACGTACGGGTGCCCATATTGTTATGAATGAGCAAACATGGAACTAATGTTTACCATGTGTACAATGTATCTTCATGTTAACATTATAAATATTCGGAAGGATTTTGTATTAAATGTCTTTATATGTATTCATCACGGTGCCAAATGCCAATACATGTATGAAAAATGCTAATGGAAGTCTATTTTAAAAACAACATTAAACTGTTCAAGGAAGCCAATTTTGGTAGAAAATAAAAGTTTTATTTTTAACTCGTAACAATTACGTTGATAGAACATATCTTTATTCATTTTTTAACGCCGCATCCAAAGGTCTCATAAATCAAAGACATTGATCAGCTTGTAAACAAATAACTTTAAATGACATTTAACATTATGCAGCTTTACTTATTCATTTTATTTATACGAGAGTTGTTAGAAGTTCTTATGAAGCTACATGTACTACCATTTGATTATTATTGTCTTTTTTACGTGTAGACAATTTCTAGCAGCATCTAAAAGTATTTTAGTTTATTTTTTGACATTTCCCTGTCTACACACATACATTTTAGTAACTCGGTGCGCCATGACGTTCAATGACGTTCCCATTCTTGGATTTCATTTTATGCGTTGATTATATATAAATGTCTATTAAACATTCATACACCAACCAATTCAATTCAAAATTTCACCAATTGACGTTTCATGAATGCTGTAGCGGCAGGTATAATTTCATAATTCTCTTGCGCTACAACTGTGCATTTTTTTTAATTTCATTAAAAAGTAATGTAATTTGAACGTTCGAAAAAGTAGCATGCTCCGTGAAGCATAATTTATCAACATAATATAGCTGTATATTCTTAACTATCACCGTAAAACTTCAAATCTTTGTCTATTTATTGGAAAAAAGATGAAGTTTTTATCTGGAGAGTTTTACCAGTATCATAGAAATAGTGCGCTCACGATAGAACCTGTCCGCGAACTTTTCTAACAACCCTCGTATAAGCATGGATGAAGTTGTTATTTTCATAAACTTCGAAAAAGAGTTTGCATGTATACAAGATTTGGAGCATAGAACACTGTTCTTCGACATACACAGGGATTCTCGTTAAGTTTTATTTTCCCTCGGTAAATATTTGTCAAAAATTAATGACCTTAATGATTATCGTATTTAATCCGCAAAACAAATAATTTGTTATTGATACCAATGCTATTTATGCCATCCAATGGAAGTCATATGAGTGTTGTCCCAAAAAGTCGTAAACAGGCAAGACAATTTAGTTTCCCCTTGCTTAATTATATTTCTTGTCTTGTGAATTAAAAAGCAATTACAATAAATTATTATTAATTTCAAGTTTCACGATGATATTACATTTGATTAAAAATAATGTAACAAAAGCTCATAAGGGTAGGTCAGCGCACGAAAGCAGGTATAATTTACGTGTCTTATAACGTCATGATCATTTGCGGAACTTGTAAAAGCAAAATTATGCGGTAAATAATTTGAAAACAATGACAATCTGACGACTTAAGGTACTCAAATAATATTGTAAGCAACCTAGGTGTCAAACGTAAGGATACATCTTTATGAATGGGAAAGACGCTACAAATCATGTATGAAATGAATAGGCAGGGTAAGTTTGAGAAACTTTCTCGACGTTGTTTTTGACGTTACAATGTTGTTAACCGTGCTCCGTGGTGATAAAACACATCGCTTTTAAAAATGGTTAACATGAGTTCCATGAAATCAAATGGAATAAAGTATTCATGCATCGATAAAATTAATGTTTTTACATATAAAAATGTGTTGATCTTTAATTTTGTAAAAATATTCAGATAATGAGGAAGATTATGTTCGTATTTTTTGAATGACCCTCGTATACTGTGATTCTGATCCCATTAAAAAAAAATTAACCCATGTGTTTACAATACTACAAAAAGTTTATGTAAATAATGAGATATATGCTTTATGCAGCGAAAACATAATCAAGAATCGTGTAAAATTTGATTGCTTGCAATTATAGTGGGTTTTTTTGGCATGTCATCTGGTTTCTTATTTTGACAGTATATCAACATCTATAAATAAATTGAAAATAAAAATAAATGAAGAACGTGAGAAAAACATGACAATAATTAAAGTCAATAAAAGATAGTCACAAAAATTCAAGAAATTGTGATGACTCCCGCCTTTGAAAATACCTTTGTTCTTCCTAAATCTATACCTTTATACATGTATATATACGTATCTATACTTTTTCGTTGACCATTCCTGCAATTTTAAAGAGAAATGCTTCTTTTGAAAGTTTTATTTTGATAGTTACAGCCATCCTGTATTGTTTTCAATTATTAATATGCTTTGCAAAAAATTAACTTGTTTTAGATAATTATATGATGCAAACAACAGAACTCGGATAGTACCAACCTCTAGGGGTAACATAATGGCGGAGATCAAAACAACAGTGTGATATTTAATATGTTCATATATACGAGGGTTGTCCCATAAAATCGTGGACAAAGCGTTTTTCTCGAAAAGTAATGGGCGCACTAAGCTGAAATTTTCAGCAAATGTTTCTTCATCATATTTAAGTGAATCATAATGTTTTTGATAATATATATTCAAAAATAAAAATTTTATTCTGCTTGAATGTGCACAAGGTACGGTCCTACGGCGCACGATAAAAATAGCAAGGTTATATTCGAGAAGACATAAGAATTAATTCGTAATGAAAGTTATCAATACATAAGATTAGGATAAAAATTATCCTAATTCCATTCCTTAAATCAATTCTGTCGTCTTTTTAAAAATTTCAAGGCATTTGGTTAATTTTTGGCAGTTTCCCGAGCATTTGAAATGGGAAAGTAATAAACATAATACACGAAAAATGGCGACTTTTTATGACGTTACGGCGCACCGGAGAGCAGTTCAGATACATTAGGATGTTGTAATGACATCTTAAGAGACATTAAATGAATACAGAAGAAAAAAAATATGAAACTATCACCAGATCTTTAGTTTATAAATAAAATGAAAGTTTTCTTAGTGAAGTCTTCGTGGCCGAGTCCCCAGATAGTACAAAACATATGGACAGACTGCCATTTGTAATAGCAAAGGACGCTGTCACTGTCGACCGTCGATGTGAGATTCTCTTTTAGTTGAATGATGGTGAGAATACTGTCTGTAACTTGCTAATAAATATTCAGAAGATCGCATGAGTGTGCCTTATTGGTTTCTTAACTGGTTATAGATACTCACATATGTAAATCAATAAAATTTCTAAATTTAAGTGGGGCTTATCCAACTTTAAGTTTAGCAAAGATGAAACGTGACGCTGTTTTAGACGTTATCATCCGTGCGCCGTAGGGCGATACAGTACATAACATAAAATATCACAATTTGTTTACCTTTGCATATATCTATTCGAAATTTGCTATGTATATTCATAATTTATCTATTAAAAAGTGGTGAAAATTTCAGAACGCAGTGATGATTATTTTTCAAACTAGACAACTTGTCCACGATTTTACGGGACAACCCTCGTATATAATTATTTACTTCACAAATAATATGTAACTTTCTCTTTTTGTCGCATTTTGTCATTATTTCTGTCTGTTAATGCAAGGTAGATGCTCTTTCCCTCAACTCCTTGTCCAAGGTTTTGGTACAGGGAATACAAGAACCTAGATCAAATCAGTCAAAATTTAATAATATATATTACATATCTTATTATTTTTTCATGATTAATGATAAAGCCTTAATGTCTCTGACTCTCAGATGCATTGAACAATTTGAAATTCCCCTAAACATTATCAACAAGCTTAGCATCGGGCAACACTATAAAAGTTGGTTGTCAATGGTTTTCTTTGGGTGTCAGTTTCAACTATACCCTTAGGATGCCTCAGAAGTGGCACATTTATTATCATACTGAATGTCTTATTGCTTTAGGATGTAAGCAAACAAAACCAAGAGGCCCACGGGCCTTATAGGTCACCTGAGTATCATCTAACAACTTTCGAACAATTGATTTTGGAAAGTATTTCAAACCAGAGGCCATGAAATTCAAATTCAAAATTTTGAAAGAGGCACCATTGCTTATCAAAGCTGTACACTTAGCATGCTTACTTTGGTTACTCAATACTCAGAGTAACAAAGAGGAATTGCATTTCCACTTTATAACCAGTTGTGCACCCCACAGCACCCACTGATCCTAGGGCCACATATTTCAAACGTTTGGAAATTTTATCATAAATTTTATTTCATCATGAATGGTTGGTTAATACCAAGGAGCAGATTTCAAAGAATTAATTTATTTTCAGACTATGTACACCCCCAAAGTACCCCTGACTTAGGGCCCTGAAATTGACCATTTTGGAAGAGGCAGCTTTCTGCATCATAAATATGTACTTGGATCACTGGCATAATACCCAGGAACAAAGGAAAAGATTTTCAAAGAATTTATACCTTTTCACTATATAATCATTAAAGCCCTGTCCTAACGCAAGAACCCTTGACCCAGGGGCCATGAAATTCACAATCTTGAGGTGGCATTCTTCCTCATCATAACTATGTACATAATTCATTGGTTATATACCCAGGAGTAGAAAAGGAGATTTTTAAAAAATCAATGTATTTTCACTATATTATCAATTGAGTCCCGCCCTAACCCAGAACCCCGACCCAGGGGCCATGGAATTCACAATATTTGAAGAGACATTGTTGCTCACATAACTATGTACTTGGTTAGTTTGTTTCATACCCAGGAGAAGAGAAGATTTTCAAACAATTTATGCAATGTTTACAATATAATCAATGTTTGCTTTGACCCATAGGTGCTTTCTGCCAAAATTAGTTGAAATTGTTTGAGCGGTTGCAGAGAAGATGAAAATGTCCAAATGTTAACGCATGACGCACAACGCACGACGACGGACGAAAACGGAAAGCAATAGGTCATCTGGGTTTACTCAGGTGACCTAAAAATCGTAGAAAGTCTTAAGTTTTGAAAGCTTTGAAACTGTTTTTTTTATAAGAAAGCATCGAAAAAGATTTACTGACCTCTAGTTTGTTTGATTCTCGAGGAGTTCTTTATCATCAAACATTTCATCATATCTGCACTCTCAGGAATTTTTGTATGCATTTCGTTCTCGATCAAGCTACATCAGACGCAAGCTTTCATTGACATCAAGTCTGTTTGACTCCTTTCAAGTCCACAACTGCCGTTTTGAATACTCTAGAGCGAACCGTACGCGCAAAATTTAAACGTAGGGGAAGAAACCATCGTTTATCACTCGAGCTGTATGTTGCTTTTGCTGATGGCAACATTACAAATCAATTTCTCTATATAATCAAGCATTAGTATTTTTAAACATGTATCAATCAATTTTTGCATGTAGTTTTTGTGCGATTGTTCGTCGTAGATTTCTCAAAACGTCAATTGAACTTTTGAAAGGAACTTGAATAAATTTGACGTCAGTCAAGTCTAGCTTGTAACTGACATAAGATTTTTAAATGAAAACAAAAAAAGTATTAGCGAGTGCAGTTAACGAAAGGTAGGATCTCCCTGAGTATCAAGCACTCAAAAACAAATCTTTTTATTTTCGAAGCTTCCTATTTAGAAAAATAGAAAGGTAAGTTTGAAAGCCGTTCCAAATTTACTCATAACGACAACCTCCAACTTTTTCGCCGACATATTAATAAGACATTCAGTATAACAAAATTGTTTTGGTGGTTTACAATTTTATACCAGGGGAAAGTATAAGCATCACCAACATTTAAAGCATAGAAAGGCAAAAGCAATTACTTCTACGTCTTCTGGACATATCTTCTTCTTTAGCTTTTCTATGTTGGATATCCTAAAAATATATTTGGACAGTTACTTTTTAGAGAAAATCATTCAGCCCTGGTGAATAATAAAAGCTAGAAATCAGCCAAAAAGGACCAAAATATAAAATATATCTAATCTAATTAAATCATAACCGTAAACATATGTGTTTTACACCAGTTGACAGGTTCTAATGTTCTCGCAAAAGTGCTTAAAAGCATCTAAAAATTCGTCCGGGTTGAAGTTCATTTCATTTTCGCAAAAGTATTGAGCTAGACGAGTAGACTGTTCACGCATTCTCTCTTTAATGTCATCTGCCTCATCCATTTGAGCATCAGCTTTCTATCAATTGTGGTGAATGATGTCATTTTCGTTATTTCAATTTATAGATATTATTCTTAAAAGGATAGAAAGAGGGTACGTACATGTACGTATAATGTTTAAATTTTTAGTCTCTCTTTTGTATAGAATTACAAATATTCAAAATAAATATTGGCGACTTTACAACTTTATGTGACTAACAAGCTGAAAAAAGAAAAAAAGACCCATAAGGTTCTGAAATTTTGCACGTGCTTTTTGATTGTACTTGTCATTATTAAGCTAAGATCACTTGATATTTCTTATTTCTTTCCTCCAGTTTATAAACAATTCTAAATATTTTACACTTATAGCTGGTTTGAGACAAGCTTATCCTGATCCCTACCTCTAAGAAATCGGTATACTGTGTTTTCACTTCATCATCGGTTTGTTCACAGTTTTGTTTAAGTCTCTTAATCATTCCTCTGAGCTGATTAAATTCATCAATTACACCATTCATCAGAAACCTTTCAAAACATTAATATGCTCAAAACATATTATTCTTAACATGTTTCTTATAGTGTCTTGAGGAATCAATATAAATTATCCACTGCCTGGAATCATAGACTTTTTGCAAAATCGATGATACCAAAACATTGGAAAACTAACAAGAATGTCTCGTGGTAGTTATAAGCAAATTGAATACCTTGAAGCGTTCTCTAAAGGTTCCTGCAAGGTTTTTACAAATTCCAGAGCACCCTGGTTCCTTTGTTCCGATGTCTCCACCAAGTAATGGAGGAAAGTCATTTTGGGGATATTTGTACTCGACTTGGTGTTCATAAGGGACTTGAGAGAACTTATACGAATTCCTCGTGCATTTTCAAATGCACTTCCCTATATTTAGAATCAATCTGCCATCAATTATGTTTTACCAACAATGCCGTTAACATTTGTCTTTTATACAAGACATTTGTATATATATAATTCTTTTATATAAGTATTAAATTCTTTAAAATTAAATCGTTTTTTTTCCAAAAAAAAAAACAAGATGAGAAAATACCTACTTTGTTCAAGAAATTTCCTGTGTGTAAAACGTATCGGAGAAAAATCTTCAGTGACTGATCCTCACATATAAGATCTCATGTCTTTAAGAAAAAATCAGACTGTGTACTTATTACGTTGAGTTGTGCGTTAAAATCAGCCTTCAGAAAAAGAGCCTCAGTTCGAAATTCATGGTTTGGAAGTTGTGTCATGTAATAGAGGAACTTTTTGGCGTCTTCAAGGTTTTCAGCATTACCTTCAAATTGCTGAAAAAATTCAATCTGCAAATTAGAAATAAAGTGTTTAACTTTATAGAAATATATTCAATCTTGAATCTTTTTTTAAGCTTTGTTTTTAATTTGAGATGCTTAGCGAACATTTCAAGAACATGTTTAAATTCTGGAGACTGCAAGAGAATGTCAACAAGCCTCGTCACGTTGTGGAAGAACTTCTTTCAGTCTTTTTAGCTTTTCAACTTCAAACTTTTCGTAGTCTCCATACTGCAGAAGTTGAATGATATCTTTTATCGGTCTTCCACATTGTTTCAAAAAGAACTCTACATTTATTTTTCTCATCTGGCTCAAAGTTGATCCCTTCAAAGTAAAAGAGAAAGTGAATCCTCTTTTGTTGGTACAATAAATGACTGATAATTAATACTCTTAATCACATAAGGGTGCAGTCTTGTATTCAACTATATATGAAATTAAGGACTACAAATTGTATTTCCTACAAATATACATCGACTACAAGTATTGCTTCTATTTTTTTTATTACCAAATAAAACAAAATTACGGGGACTAGATATCGAATACCTGCAACAAAATCCTCCATGTTCATGATTTTCGTCACCCTTTAACTATAGTCCTGCTGGACAGTTATAACTGGTGACGTAATGTTGTATATTATTGTATTACAGTTAATAGGACCTTAAATCACTAATTTGAAAAGGTCCTACATATAGGGAACCCCGATTTTTAACTGGCGTAGGAATTTCAAAATATATTATGGATTCTGTATAAGATTACGCCAGGCGATGGGCCAGATATGAAAAAGATGACGTTAAGGTAGGATTCTTCTCTGGTTTCTGACTAGATGAAACATTCAAAGTATATTTGCTTATATGTCTTATATATTTAGGTGTAAGGGATTTAAAAGACCATATTTTTCTTTCCTCATCACAATTGTACAACTTTAAATAGAAATGATAAACTGCGACTGAAAAATAGTAGGGACTATATTTTTGGCAGAATGGTGGCGTATGAAAATATCATCTTTTCTGCCTCTCAAAATTATAATAGAACAATGAATTTAGATATAATTTTTTGATAATCAGAGACTTGCAGAAATTTTCAAATGTAAGTTAGATTAATAATAAGGGACTAAACTTTCAAAATATATCAAATAAATATGATTTTTCAAACAAACTAGAACTATGTTAGCTTTGAAACGCTTCCAATCAAAGTACAGAGTTGAATCAAAAATCCATAAAAAGTATTTTTTTTTCTCTCTTAGTAAACGATCAAAACTTTTTGTTTTTGTATCATTTTGTACATTTATAAGACTACTTTATTATATGTGAAAATAAGAAAAAGTTAAATATAGGAAGCATACGAAAATAACTAATATATCCTTAAAAATTAAGAAAAACAGAGAAAATTCGGATTAGCCAATATCCAGTTTAGTTATATTATTTATGTAAATTTGGTAATAGCCTCCTATAGGCCTAATATAGTAAATTATTATGCTTCCTGTCAGTTTGTCTCTATATAACCCATACCCTACTATTTTCGCATAGTGGTCTAAGGATTTATATAGCGTAAGCATACTATGCCGAAATAGTGCACGGCCTCATTTTCTGAATAAAATACTTCAGTGCACAAACCGGGAATCGAACTCACGACCATGAGGGTGCTAGTCCGATGCCTTATCGATTACGCCACAGAGACGATCACTGATTAGGAGAGTTTTATAAAATATATAAACTTAATTTATACAATTGACACAAGAAGGAGAAAATAGACAAATATTATTTGAAAACAGTTATATTTATTCTAAGGAATCTTAGATAAATGTGTACAACAAAGTTTCAAACTAATTACATACAGATCGTTAGATGAATTGATATCATGGGGTCATTAAAACGCTTTTTTATATAGCGCTTGATTGAAGGATGTAAAAGAAAATTATCAATGGGAATCCACGTCTGTAAACAAATCAGTCTTACTAACAAAACAGAAAATAAAGATGAGTATCTTTGGGACAGAAAATCCTGACTTATTTAGAGAAA